TCTAATACTGATGTGATTGTTGAAAAAGGCGATTCGGGTCTTAATTTTGAAGATTTACGGATCTGAAGAGAATGAACAGTTGTTGTAAGGGAAAGCAATTTGGATTATGCCTGCAATATAGCATTAACTGTTGGCATATGTCTTTGGAAAATCTTTGCGACGAGCATACACGAATTATTGACGGACATCCCAACTCATCTATAATCACATAAGGGTTCCTGGCAACTGATCATTTTGCCAGAGTAAAATGGATCAACGGTAAGTATTTCGCATGCTAATTATCCTTGGTGGCTTTTCCATAAAGCAAATTATTGTTTGAGACAGTTGCTGAGGAATGGTCATTGTATGAACCTTTGTCAGCCTTTTTAAGGAATATCTGATAATGACTGAGATGCAGTAACTGCATCTCTCTCAAGAGAATTCGACCGAGTGCGTTAGGGCTGTAGAGGAGCATACTGCATACAAATTTTGGACTGCATCGCCAGAAGTATCTGACTAGAAATGGAGGTAAATCCATAACATAAATGCTACAGAACTATCATGTCATACTGGAATTATACTTGAAAACTAAAACCACTTAACTACCAAGTTTTATTCTTGGATATATGATAAATTGTTTGATTAGAAAATTCGTTTTACCAAGGTGCTCACATTATCCCAAGCTTAATTTTCTGAACAAAAATATGAGACTAGTTTTTAAAACAAATACAGAAAATTTTTTAACAGTGCACCAAATACCATCTTATCATCACAAGAGGAACACAGTGCTCTTTGAAACGGAATAGCTTACTCTGTGTACTCCTATGAAGATGTTGAGGTATACGCCAAGTCCAAATATTTACTTGTTAGCCCCAACTCGTGAGTTGAGAACAACACACGTTGGCCTTCAACGTCTAACCCATCGGCCAAAACCTGGAGCAACTACACAGACTGTTTTTCGAACCGGAGCAAACAGCCTCTAAACTCTTAGTCTCGAGCAAATTACCAGCGGCCGTAAAGTTGAAAAGGCGTCTTGTATCTGCTTATGTAGTTGCTGTTCAGCGTACCACATCCCTCATCTCGGACAGTTACTTCTTGCGTGCAGCAGGGTTATACATAGTGATTACATAATCAAGTTGATTACGTCAGTAATTACATAAACACACGGATTACGTAATGTATTACAAATCCCACGGCGACAGAGGCAAAAAAAAAACATCAACAAACAGCGCTTAACCAACATTTTTCCTCGACAGTTTCAGCGGTTTCACTGTTTACACCAACAAAAGGACACGGAGAGAAGAAGGAAAGCAAAGCAGCGGCAGATCAACAATGCAAGCTCCAGTGGTTTTCATGAGTAAGTTGTCAGCCTTGGGGCTCGGGATATTGCGCGCTCGTTACTAACCGCTGGAACCAAACAGATACGTCCCAAGACCGCCAAACTGGTAGAGAGGCCCAGATCTCCAACATCACCGCGGCAAAGGCAGTGAGTGACATCATCAGAACGTGTCTTGGGCCGAAGGCGATGCTGAAGATGCTGCTTGACCCTATGGGCGGTATTGTGCTTACAAACGACGGGCATGCGATCTTGAGAGAGATCGATGTTGCGCATCCAGCCGCCAAGTCGATGATTGAGCTGAGTAGAACCCAGGACGAAGAGGTTGGTGATGGTACCACCACGGTGATCATACTTGCTGGTGAAATCCTGGCGCAGAGTTTCCCGTACATTGAAAAGAACATTCACCCTGTGATTATCATCCAGGCGTTGAAACAGGCGTTGAGTGATGCCCTCGAGGTGATCCATGAAGTTTCAAGACCTATTGATCTGGACAACGAAGACGCAATGATCAAGTTGATCGGGGCGTCTATCGGTACCAAGTATGTCAACAGATGGAGTGAGCTCATGTGTAAGCTGTCCCTGAAGGCTGTGAAGACCGTGTTGGTTGACGATGGCGCTGGTCATAAGGAGATTGATATCAAGAGATACATCAGAGTTGAGAAGATCCCCGGGGGTGAAATTGAAGATTCCAAGGTGTTGGATGGAGTCCTCCTTAACAAGGATGTCACACACCCAAAGATGAGAAGGCTCATTGAGAACCCAAGAATCATCTTGTTGGATTGTCCACTGGAGTACAAGAAGGGGGAATCGCAGACCAACATTGAAATCACCAAGGAGGAAGATTGGAACAGAATCTTGCAGATTGAGGAGGAGCAAGTCAAGCAGATGTGTGAAACCTTGCTCTCCTTTAAACCTGATTTGGTGATTACAGAGAAGGGTGTTTCAGATCTGGCTCAACACTACTTGCTAAAAGGTGGTGTCACCGCATTGAGAAGAACCAAGAAGTCTGATAACAACAGAATTGCCAGAGCCACTGGTGCCACAATTGTTAATAGAATCGAAGACCTCCGTGAGTCGGATGTCGGTACCAAATGTGGGTTGTTCAAAGTTGAGCTCATTGGTGATGAGTATTTCACATTCCTAACCCAATGTCGTGAACCACAGGCCTGTACTGTGCTTTTGAGAGGTCCTTCAAAGGATATCCTCAACGAGATTGAACGTAACTTACAAGATGCTATGGCTGTGACACGTAACGTCATGTTCGAGCCAAGCTTAGCACCAGGTGGAGGTGCCACCGAGATGGCTGTGAGTGTTCGCCTCAGTGAAAAGGCCAAAACGATTGAAGGCATACAGCAATGGCCGTACCAAGCCGTTGCAGACGCCTTTGAGGTCATTCCAAGAACCTTGGTACAAAACTGTGGTGGTAACCCAATCAGAGTGTTGTCCCAGTTGAGAGCTAAACAGGCAAAGGGCGAGCATACATGGGGTATCGACGGTGATAACGGTAAGATTGTCGATATGAACGAATATGGAATTTGGGAGCCCGAGGTTATCAAGCAGCAGAGTATCAAAACTGCGATTGAAAGTGCATGTCTATTGTTGAGGGTTGATGACATTGTCAGTGGTGTCCGTAAACACGAATGAGCGAAGTGACTAACTAACAAATGAACTCAATACTCGTTTTAATTAAATGCTATGTAGTTGTTACAACGATCTCCTCCTCCTGCTGATCGACCATCACCTCATCCTCGTCGTATTCTTCGTTACCCTCACCACTCGCGTCCTCGCCTATCGGGAAGTGTGTCTGTATTATCTCGAGGATGTCGTTGATCTCGTCCTCGCTGAACCTTTGATCGCATTCCTCTATAACACTATATAGGCTGACCATCGAGTACGGCGCGGAGTTGATGATTTGTAGCTTCTCAATCTTCTCCAGCGAATATTTCGACAGATCCTTCATACACTCCGTTATACTATCAACGGACTGGATGTGCACAGGGGTCTTGGACAGATACGAGCTCAGATCTCTCGTGATGCTCTCCAAATCTGGGTTCAACGACCTCTTGGGCTTTTTGGCATTGTCCTGCTGTGCCATCCAGTTATTCTGTCGCTGGATCTCCTTCAAATGCTCAAACACTTCGAAGTTCGACAGAAGCCTTTCCCTTTCAATCTCAACCTTCATCGAGGATATTGGCTACGATTGTACAACTCGAGACACGCAAGCTCTGTGCAGACGATGGCCATTAAACAGTATGAGCTGGTGAAGTTAAGCAGAAAAAAAAATAAAAACACACATGTGATCACGTGACAAACACACCGACATCTCAGCAGTATGTGATGTTTGGATGTTCTTACGTAAGCAGGGTACACGCGCTCGTAACCATTTTCTTCACAAAATGTCAACTGCCTCATTGGGAAGTCGCACGCTAGTTTCCCGACCATTGCAGAACTCCGCACACCACGCACACCAACCCCCACGTGCGCTTCTCTACTCTTTCTTCCGCTTGGGTATTAAACATACAACCAAACTCGATACATCACAGCTTTTTTTCCTGCTTGGTTCTTTCACTTAACCTTCTCTTGCCATATTCAATTGGCAGTGTACCTACATTCTTGTGAAGGAATCCAATCAGCTGAAGAGTTGAGTGAAGACAAGCGATGAAATTCGGCGAACATCTGAAGAGCTCCCTTATCCGGGACTACAACTTCTACTACATCTCCTACGATGAGTTGAAGGGTGAATTGAAGAGTGGGTTGCAACAGAATGGCAATGTCTGGACCGATGAGCTGGAGGAGAAGTTCCTCACGAGCCTGGAGGCGGAGCTGGATAAGGTGTACACCTTCCAAAAGGTGAAGAGACAGGAGATTGTGAGAAGAATCAAGGATGCTGAGCACTCTGTGACGGAGGTGCTGGCGATGCTTGAGTCTGGTGCGCCTCCTTTTGAGCAGGACTTTGAGGACCTGGAGGAGGAGCTGAGTGATGTGATTGCTGACGTGCACGACCTGGCCAAATTCACAAGACTGAACTACACCGGGTTCCAAAAGATCATCAAGAAGCACGATAAGCAGACCAGTTGGACATTGAAGCCAATCTTTCAAGTGCGTCTGGATGCTAAGCCGTTCTTTAAGGACAACTACGACCCGATGATTGTCAAGCTCTCTGGGCTGTACGACCTGGTTAGAACAAGGGGTAACCCAGTCAAGGGAGATTCAGCTGCTGGTGGATCTCAACAGAACTTTGTCCGTCAAACTACAAAGTACTGGGTTCATCCAGATAACATCACGGAGCTGAAGCTCATCATCCTGAAGCACTTGCCAGTGCTGGTCTTCAATGCCAACAAGGACTTTGAAGTGGAAGACTCCGCCATCACCTCGATCTACTACGATAACGAGAACATGGACTTGTACTACGGAAGACTGAGAAAGGACGAAGGTGCAGAGGCACACAGATTGAGATGGTATGGTGGCATGTCATCAGACACCATCTTTGTCGAAAGAAAGACCCATAGAGAGGACTGGACTGGTGAAAACTCTGTCAAGGCCAGATTCCCATTGAAGGAGAGACACGTCAATGCCTTCATGAAGGGTGAATACACAGTTCCACAAGCGTTTGAAAAGATGAGAAAAGATGGTAAGAAGTCCTTGAAGGAGATCGAAGGCTTGGAGGCCTTGGCTACTGAAGTCCAGTACACCATGTTGAAGAAGAGATTGAGACCTGTGATGAGATCCTTCTACAACAGAACTGCGTTCCAGTTGCCTGGTGATGCAAGAGTTCGTATCTCTCTTGATACTGAGCTGACCATGGTTAGAGAGGATAACTTTGACGGTGTTGATAGAACAAAGGGTAACTGGAGAAGAATGGACATTGGTGTTGACTGGCCATTCTCTCAATTGCCTCCAAAGGACGTCGAAAGATTCCCATACGCTGTTCTTGAGGTCAAACTACAGACTCAAATGGGCCAGGAACCACCACAATGGGTCAGAGACTTGATCTCTTCCCATCTTGTTGAGGCCGTGCCAAAGTTCTCCAAGTTCATCCATGGTTGTGCTTCTCTCCTGCCAGAACGTGTTGATCTAATTCCGTTCTGGTTACCTCAGATGGGCGTCGATATTAGAAAGCCTGTGCTCTCCAACGAAATCGGTATTCATAGAAACGTGGACTCCAACAACAACACTTCGAGTGGTGAATACATGGACGAAGAAGAGGCAATTGGCACAGGCGTTGGCTCTTCCACCCAGTTTGGTGCCATTGGCGAGTCCTCTCAGCAGGGCACTCAGCCAAACACGCAGGGTGTTTCAGAGAGCTCTCCGCTATTGAGCAGCGGAGGGAACGGCGCCACCACCAGACTAAGCAGCTCCAACCCTGTTGTTGCTTGGTACAACAGCGCAGTGGCATCGATAGAAGACTTCTTCACTGATGAAAACACCTACAAGGTGTCGAAGGATACCATCTTTGAGTCCAGGTTTAAGGCACCACCGGGCAAGAAGATTTGCGTCCCAGTCAGAGTCGAGCCAAAGGTGTACTTTGCAACAGAGAGAACCTACCTGAGTTGGATCTCCATCGCGCTTATCCTCAGCGCAACAACAACAACTCTGCTCTCCTACGGCGACCGCGTCTCGCTAGCCGCCTCCGTTGGCTTCTACCTCACCACCGTCGGCACCATCGTCTATGCTTCCGTCATGTACATGTGGAGAGTCATCAACATCAGGGCCAAGGTTGCCGCCAACTACGACGACAAATACGGCCCGACATTGATCTGCTCAGCATTGGCTCTGTCAGTGTTTGCAACCTTCCTCTTTAGGGTCCTTTGATTGTTGATGTACACAAAAGAGCTTCTCTACCACAAATCCTTAACTTGCCCAGGCGATAGTGGCGATGATACGTCGAATGTTACACAGAGATGGGGGGCGAGGACGAGGTTCTGCCAATGGAAGGTGTGTTTAGATGTTTTAGTCCATTTTCTTCCTACTTATAAAGCACAGTATCGTTTCATTTCCTCTAGATCACTTTAGCGTGTTAACCAGATCACCGGCATTGTCTGATATGCAACACAGTGTTAGTACCACATCTTACCGTCAACGTGAACAAGGACCCGTGCAAGCCAATGGCTCTAGGGCGCACGTGACTGGATGCGGTACAGATCGCCTCCAGGGGAATATGAGCACCAACAGTGTTTACCTCAAGGGCACGCACGGGTTGAGTAGACAGGCATTGCAGTACAGCGGCCCCAGTCCTTTGAGCCGTCCCCACGTTCAGGCGTCAACCCATGGCTTTACAGGCAGTCATAGCAGAGATGGTTTCACAGACTTGAAGACAGCTCCAAAGGGTGGTCAGGGCGTGAAGCCTGACGACTGTGGTCATTTCGGCGTGCAAGCACAGCAGTACATGGGTGGCCATTTTACTGGTCCAAGCTCACGCCATGTTGGACAGCAGCAGCAGCAGCAGCAGCAGTATCATGATGGAGCCTGTGAGGACGTTCCACGTCCATACCGGTTCCCCCCAGGGTTTGATCCAAGGGGAACGCCAAACATGTCTCACAGGGAGAAGGTGGACAAGTGGTTATCTGACGTTCCTATGTATCTCACAACAGTGACGAATCACAGCCAATTCGCAAAGCTCGGGAACGAGGTTGAGAGCTCCTCTGGCACTACTGGTTGTGTGTCGATTTGGCGAAACGAGTGCTATCAAGGTATTGTTGAAACGTCGAGCACAGTATCAAACGACGATGGCAATCTATCAACATCTCTTGATGAAGATATGAGGTACGAGTATGATGACCAGTCGTGCTGCTGGCCACTTGTGATGAATGATAACAGTAGTTTCAACATTGGAACTAGTGTCGGTCTGCTGTGCACGGGATTCAAGTTTGGGCTCTTTGTAGACCATGATGATGTCCTAGAGTACCAGTCTAGGAAAATAACGAGGTATGTCAAGAAACTATACAGACAAGACCATTCTGAGACTGTTATGAAGTTGAACCAAGTCAGCATGGAATACACTGGGAATGAAACCGGTAGAAGTCAAAGCAACATGCCACTGAACGAGTCAGGCACTGGGGTTTATTCGGCTCATGACGACATGGATGAAGACGAGTACTATGACTTGTGCAACGTCAATCTCATGACAATACCGGCTCTTCCAAGGCGCAAAAGGCGTTATTTATAGTGATGCCAGGCCCATCTCGTCTATCATCATCGTATACTTTGGATCAGTCGTTGAGTATGCATTGCCCATTCTGATAAATAATAGCATTACAGTGTACGAGCATACAACCTCGACAAGGATTTGAAGGGATTATATCTTCAGTACTAAACCATAGTTTCCAGCCTTTTGTACTTGTAGTTGGTGTTGAGATCCACTACTTTGTCCAGACTTCCATCGTGACGTATCAATAAAATCGAGCCATCTTGATTTGGTGTCTCCTTCTCCAATAAGAAAGCCTCCAGCTGTGGACATCTCACAACGGTCAAGCTCTGTACATTCAAATCGGGAGGATTCAATATTCTCAGTGATTTTAACTTAGGAAGCTCATGTATGCACGGATTAGGCCCCACACTTGTATCTTCAAGAGATAGTAAACAGAGCTCAGGTGCTTTGAGATCGAGATGGAACTCACCAAGATCAGAATGACTATTATTGGCTCCAGGAAGTGACGATGTCAAAAGTAGATAGTTGAGCTTTGGGAAGTTAGCGTTCATGAAGTTGTAAGTTACGGGATACCCCATCTCCATCGAAAGCGACTCCAAAACTGGAAAAGAGACTTCTTTCAAGTCGAATGTGTACCCGGTAATATAGTCAGTTTTTAACAATGGTTGTTCGATGACTGATATTATCAACAAAGATGACGAATATTTCCTTTGAATATCTCTGATATCGCTTGGATGGGTCGCAAAATTCATGATAGAAATGGTTTCAAGTCTTGGTGAATTCGGCAACGGTGATCCGCATGTTAGCTCTAATGGACTAAACGATGCATCACGAATGTAAGTTATGCAATAATCTTTGAGCTTAGGGAGCTGGAATTCCCTTAGATCTTCAAGGTTTGATGACTTATTGTCAGAGATATTCAAATATTCAATATTGGGGGTGTACTTCCACCAGGGATCAGAAGACATCATCTTAAGACCTGCTACTCCTTGAAGGAAGTCATAGCATCTCTCATCATTTGGGCCCATCACAGAACAAAGATACACTTCTTTTAAAGATGGAAAGTTGTTTCCCATGATTAAGCTGAAATGACACCCACTCAAACGCATATTTGATAACTTTGGAGCATCTATAAAACAGAAATGATCTCTCTTAGAGGACGCAGATGAAGACACGCTCAAGGCTCTGCAACTGGGAGCATCCAATCCTGATATACTTATGCATTCCGAAAGTTTGATCTCAACATTAGTCAACGATGATAGACTTACTCGGTGTAGAGTTAAAGCACCACCAGAGCTCAGAAATGCTCTCTTTAGAGAAAGAAATGATGTATCCTCAATTTTAAGTGAGGCTGATCCCTCAAGTGTAACCGAAAGAGAATTAATGGAGTCATTATTAAATCCAAACCAGTGTATGTCATCTCGTATTAAATGCAATCTGAGCGTTGTAATCATAATGGTCTCGTAGTCTATCGAAGAATTGATTGAATCGAAAGTTTCTTCAACAACCAGCGTTGTGAGCTTCGGTAGATCCCATCTAGTTGATGTATCTAAGCTTGAACATCCGATGAGATTCAACTTTTCAAGACATGGCAGATCAAGTGCTTCAGGAAAGAAGCCAACATCTTGTAAAATTAAAGATCTCAGCTGAGAGCACCTGTGGATCAAAGGATTCCAATAGTCTTCAAATTTCAGTGTACAGCTACTCTGGTAATCTTCAGTGGCGTACTGGAAGAAGGCAGTATCCTTTATACAGTGCCTTTCGTTCTGCAAGAAGGACAATGTGGTTTCTGTTATGGTTTCACTTCGGTCCATATTAGGGAAGCAAAACTTCTTCGGAATGTGGTTCTTGACAAGCTCGTCCCTGAGTGATTCACTAGACAACTCTCCGAGCACAACAACACAGAGACACCTTTCCATACCATTTATACCATTTGCATGGTCAGTGATTTGGTATCTCTGTTCTATGTGTGGATACAACTGCTTCAGGCTCTCTTCACAAATGATGAGCCCTATCTTGTCAGATAATGCGTCCTTGAACGTTGGGATTGATAACAAGTTATCCAAATCCGGTACATCCACATAGAAAAGGATCTGCTCAACAATCTCCACCGGCAACAAGTGGAGCATTTCCCCTTACGCTTCTACTAACTGCTGTCTGCTCACCACGGTATTATATGTTGATGTTGATGTAATGGCTCTGCGTAAACAATAGATACCGTGTGTGGCGCAAACCAGTAGCTGCACGTGGTGTTTGGATGTGACAAAGTGCCCGTATAAGCTCTAACTACCACCTCAACATACGCGTCCTTCTTGGAACGTTACCTATGGCAATGGCTCCAATTGATCTTGTCCTTTGATACAGAGTGGTTGCACCGTACTACTCCGGGGGAAGGTAACAGTATAACACCCACGACGCAGGCGTGTAGTCCACATCCATCTGCAATATACGTCCATTCGCATCCACGTGATACATCACGTGATCACGGCAAGTCGGAATCAGGCGCACACGTTGTGTCCCACCGCGGCATCGAACTCCCGCCCAAAGGAATTAGCACGCGCACACACTACGGCAGAGAACTGCGCGCGGTGCAGAGCTCCCTCATCAACAAATCAACAGCGGACACAGAACACAAGCACAGACGTAAACAAACAACAAGGAAGCTGGGCGGTTCATCCAACACACGTGGCGGTTGGCACAGCAGTTGGGCTAAGAAGAGCAAGAGGAAGTAGAAAGCATCACCAACAGCATCAGCAGAGAATGGAAACCATTGACATCCATTCACGCTCGTTTGCTGTGAAATGGATCCACGTTCCTGACGGCTCTCATGTGATATTTCAGCTAAAGCCCCTGAAGCGGTCCATCAAGTTCAGCGTGTACCAGTCCACGGAGGACAAGGTGTCTCCGACGATCTACGGCGCTACAGGGCTTGGTGAGAGCGGCAATTCGTCAACCACGTCGTTGCAGCAGATCAAGAGGAGCTCGTCGACGAGGTCGATGCCGCTGGATGAGCGGTTGCGCAACTCTCAGCTGGTTGAGGTGAAGAGCTACGGGATGCTCCAGGGGAACCAGCTGTTCAAGGAGGAGTTGAAGCTGGACCACGGTGGGATCTTTGCGTTTGTTTTTGATAACACGTTTTCGAAGAGCTATTCGAAGAAGGTGCTCTTCAACAAGTTCTTTGTTGAGAACAAGCCGGCGATTAGAAGGTTATCGACGTCGGCGTCTTCTGTGAACTTGCAGAGTCAATTGCACCCACGGAACGGTCAGTACTTGCAAGGCTATCTATTGAAGAAGAAGAGGAAGAAACTTCAAGGATTTACCAAGAGGTTCTTTGTGTTGAACTTCAAGTACAACACGCTGAGTTATTATCTCAATGAAAACACTCATAAGTTTAGAGGTGAAATGCAGATCAATTTGTCCACTGTATCTGCTTTCAAAGAGGACAATACCATAGTCATTGACTCTGGTATGGAGGTTTGGATCTTGAAGACTTTGAACGATCAAGATTGGAGTAATTGGATCAATGCCTTGGATTTTATAAAACTCAATAGCACTGCATCCCAGCCTCCACAACAACCCTCACAGTCTTCTGCCGAAAATACTGATACGTCCGCAATGGCAAGTCCACAGTTCTTACCTTCTTCTTCAAAGGAAAATGCTGACTTGTTTGCTAAAATCGAGGAGGAAAATGCCGATGTCAAGGGTCACCACCCTGAGGAGTTTTCCATCATCAATCAAAAATTGGATGAATTACACAGTACACTTGCTCATCTGGAGAGTACGAAAGACGACAAGGACATTTCAGCCATGAAAGAACAGCTACAATCACTTTCCCTTTATGTCAACTCAGTATTGGAATCCCAAGATATGAACATAACGGTGTTATCTCCAACTAATTCTGTATTTAGTGATGATTACTATGATGCCCACGAGACGCTTGAATCAAATGAATATGATCAGTTGGATAACCACGTTCTTGTTCTTCAAGGACAGAAAACTTCTTTGGACAGTAACATATCTGTTGATGATTTATCAGATGCTGATGAATCAGTGCTAGAATTTGCTCCAAAGGCTGCAATTACCGAGAGTGCTGCATCAAGGGATTTGAGTCCATTACCATTAGAAAAGATAAAGAGAAGAAATGATGTTAAACCGTCAACAACAAATCCTCCAAGTTTATTTTCATTCTTGAGGAAAAACGTTGGTAAGGATTTGTCCACCATATCCATGCCAGTTACTTATAATGAGCCTTTAACCATTCTACAGAAATTTTCCGAAATGTTTGAACATGGTGATATATTGAACCAGGCTGCTACAGAGACCAATCAAGATTTAAGAACTTTAAAAGTTGCTGCATTTGCTGTTGCGAATCTAGGCTCATTTAGATCCAAACAGAGAAACATGAGAAAGCCGTTTAATCCAATCTTGGGTGAAACCTATGAACTTGTTGATGAAAATGTGGGATTCAGAATGATTGGTGAGAAAGTTAGCCATAAGCCACAGATATTTGCATTCCACTGTGAATCTTCACTTTGGGAGTTGTCCTTCAGTGTTTCTCCAGATCAAAAGTTTTGGGGCAAATCCATCGAACTCGTGAACAACGGTACTTTGACTTTGGTGTTCAAAGCCACTGGTGAGATTCTGAAATGGTCACAACCAACGACGATAGTTAAGAACATCATTGCTGGTGATAGATACACAGAGCCTTCGAACAACGTTATAGTCACAAGCTCATCGGGAATGAAATCTGTTGTCGAGTTCAAGAAACCCACCAGTGGTATGTTTTCAACTCCACGTTGTGAAGAAGTCAAGATTAAGGTTATGGACAAGGCAGGAAAGAAATCAGAATACTATGCTGAGGGCAAATGGACCAATGAAATCACCATAAAGAAGGGGAACGATTCCAAGTTCAGTGAGACGATTTATGAAGCATCTGAACTGCTACGGGACGAATCTTCCAAATGGGGGTTTTCGATATACGCATCAAATTTGAACCAGATTACTCTTATTGAAAAGGGTAAGATCCCGTTTACTGATTCAAGACTGAGACCAGACGTTAGAATGTACGAAGACGGTGATGTCGATGGAGCATCTGAGATGAAATTAGCCCTTGAACAAAGACAAAGAGACAGAAGAAAAGAAGTTGCAGATGCTAATCAAGTACATGTCCCTTCATTCTTTGCGAAATCAAACATATCGGATGATTTGTCGTGGGAATTGATCAAAGGCTCAGCGAACTATTGGGAAAGACGTAAAGTTGGCAACTGGGATGGACTCACGGAGTTGTGGTGATCTTCTCCCTTGTTCACTTTGTCTTTACTTATACAAATACATGTTTATATGCCACACAACACGATTGCTATTAGAGAGCTAAAATGGATCTTCATATGGATCTTCTTCATCATAATCGTCATCCTTTTCGAATTCGTAGACGATGGCTCCACCCGTCTCAAAGCTTTGCGCATCAAGATAAGGCAGTTCAACGTTTTCCCTTGCTTTTTGTTGCTTTGCTGATGTTGTCAAGTTGAAAGTGGTCAAATCCTTCAACAGCTCTTGAGAATCAACGTGTTCTTGAGGTTTATCAACTATTGGTGAGTATTCGTGTGTCAGCGTGTTTATTTGAAACTTGTAAGACAAAGAACGGCCACTCTTTCGACGGTTGATCAAGTTCAGCACAAAAGACTGTGTATTAAGCCCACTTGGTATCTTGAACTCTTGAACGTGTCGTTCCAACTCTTCATCGTCGAGGCTATTAGGCAGTACTTCAAAGATAGATGACGCAATGTACGTCAATAGCGTATAGCTTGAGGGATAGTTGCTGTACTGTGAGCGATCCTCTTCAGGACATGAGGTATGGAAAGTTGCAACCACCGTGATATTAGGCCTCGAAATGGATGTGATGAACTGCGTGAGCTTATGATTTGGAATATAGTTTATAGCGTCAATGATCACCAGATTCTTACCCTGAGGATCAACGCTTTCGTTCACAAGTTCGATAATACGTTTCAATGGCTTGTCTTGAGCCTCTAGGAAGATATCAGCCCATTGCGGCTTATCAACGGTCTCGAACGATACCAGTGTCACACTTGTTGAATCCTGCTTATGGTGGATGAACTCCTGTTGAAGATATAACGAAGACTGTGCTATTGTATCGAGAATCAGCACTAGAGGCGATTGTTCCTTTTGTGATAGGAGTCTTGTGAGTAGCACCGTGGAGCTCTGTGTCTGCGATGCCATCTTTGTTTATGTCCCAGTTCTTTATGTCCCAGTTCTTTATGTCCCAGTTCTTTATGTCTCATCGGACAAAGTTTTTTTTTTCGTGACCGCTCTCCATATTCTTCGCCTACAGATTTCTACAACAAAATACATCAACACAGTCAAAACAATCGTTCTATTCGCAAAGATTCTTCAAAGTGTTTTCAATCTCAACTATGTCTCTCCAAATCTCAGCGTATGCTCTTTTACCAACTTTGAGGCTGAATTGAAGTCTCTTCTCGATGTTTAAATGAACAAAGAGCCTAATAAGCCCAAAATCAATAATTGGTTTAACTCCAGCGTCATTGAATTGTAGACGATTTGCTCTAGGATTCAACCCACAGTGATGGCCAATTTTGTCGCTCAGCTGCTGTTGCAGTATATAGAATCTTCTGTACGTTTGATCATCGATAGGTGTGACTTTGAATATCGAACCATCAACATTGGCACCTATGACCTGATAACTATCACTCGTCTGCTTGAATTCCTCATGCTTAGGCACCAGTCTCATGGTTGTTGTGAGTGTGTTGATATGGAATGTTGTCTTGTGCATAAGCCTCTGGCCACTGAGAGACTTTGGATCATCCGGGTCGTAAGATACAAGGTGTAAGGTTCCTTCATGGTCAGCAACAAGGAAATGGACTTCACCATTAGACACGAGGAAATCACAACTTGAAACATTCAGATCTTCCAGGCTCTTACCCAGCAACAAAAGCCTATAAGGCTCAGCGTCAAATCCTAAGAACATAATGTTCTTCAAAGTATCACTAACCAAAACCAGATTCTCAAAAGACTTGGAATCCGATAGAGTTGTTGGAGTATCTCTAAAGGCCACAGGGACAGTAGAATTGTCCTGTTGCAAATCTCTAATCAGTACCTTTTGACCTTGTGAAACCAAAAATCTTCCACTAATCTCAGTGACAGTTGTGACACCTCCCTTGACGACTTCGCTCACAATCTCTTTCAATTTGTAATCAACATCAGGCTTGTCAGGATCAGGCACAATAGAAATTATATCATACAACTGGAAGGCACCCAATACGGTTAAATCTTCAGTTCTGTACTTTGCAGTTCCTAAAACGATAAACTCTTTCCGTTTTTTGGACTTGGAAGAAACGATCAGTTGAAGTGATTTGACAGAATTCACCACAATGTCGTCGTCAAATTCCATCTCATCGAATATGACCCAATTGGTAGGATCAACAAGGATCAAGGAGCTCTTGAAGCTAGCGGCTTTACGTTTATCTTCTGTACCGACAATTGGATTTCCTTCTTCGTCTTTGGCGTCGTACGGAATCTCCCTTAATGACGACATCACCAACAAATTTGATGTCTCATGGAAGGCAATGTTGTTGATTGTCTTACCAATAGGAAATATATCAATTGGAAGTTTGTTCGTATAATCGTGATTTGGACCAAACGGAATCGAACAGATTCTTGCATTCTTGCCGCCGTCGATAAACATGATCTTATCCTCATATGAGCATAGCGAGATGAGAGAAGTATGAGTAAACTTGAAGATTTTTGGATTCGATTGACTCGTCTTTATCACGATATAAGGTTGCTTACCAGTGACAAAGAGCACATTATAACCGTTTGTTTGGAATGGGATAAGTTTACGCTCAAGAATAGTTGATTGAGGATAAACATTTTCTGGAGCACCAGTAATTGCATTGGTTTCAACTTTCTTGAAATGACTCCCATCCAACTTATAAGTGATGATTTCACCACCAATCGTCAATAGCGTAAGGATCTCGTCTTTGTTGAATTCATCACCAAGTGCTAAAAGTTCAACCTGCTTAAAGAAAGGATCTGGGACCAATCCATCAACGTTTTGGAAGGGAATCACCTCCCCAACTTCAATAAGTTTATGAATGTTCGTAAATTGGAACACCTCTTCGTTATGGTTTGGTCTGAACGCCAAAATCTGGTTATTAACAGTGGTTACTAAGAATACTGGGTTTGACACATTGATGTTCTCATCTGTTTGGCTCCTCTTCTTACCAGTGTTAAGTAGCGAGGTGTTTGATACTGTACCATAGGTCAAAATTATATCGGTCAAAGACTTCGGCAATTTCACTTTGTTCAACTTTCTGCCTCTAGAATCAACATCAAAGATTCTTATCTCACCGTTTGATGAAGTTAAAATAATGTATGGATCCAATAGCTTTGCATGCAATATTTCAAAATCCGCATTCATTTGTAGGACTTTTTTGAAACTATAGTCAAAGATGTAAATGTTTGACGAGGACACTTGAACAATTCTCTTTTTCGAGGTGAAAACGTCAATGTTAACAGTGATGTTGTTGTTCTTGAAATCCAAGCTCTGAAAGTTCTTGAAATTGTCATTAATCAAAAATATCTCACTCTTGAAATTGTTTAAATCGGTGGTTATTAGATACTTATTCAACAAGTTCCAACATTTAGTGATGTTTTGAAATTTAAGTGTGGAATGGATTTTCGGTTGGAGCGTTGGGTTGAAGCATGTGACTCTCCCTGAAGCGTTCTCACCATTAACACCAACAATGGATAGTTCGTTGTAATTCGGATTGGTCAACCCCTGGGATGAAGGCTCTGGTGATAAACGTGCCAGTGTAAAAGAAATGATTGGTCCATTGTTAAACAAAGAATCTACTTTATCAAACTGGACAGATTCATTTGAGCTAATGTCTTCTTCATCTCCATATAGGTCTTCATCTTCATCATCGTTGGCCATGCTGACATCGTCCTGTTCGTTTCTGCCTTCTCGTTGAATCTTTTCCAAAGATTGTTCATTTTCAGAATCAGTTTTTCTCGATTTCAATAGGAGAGCATCGCTTGTTGAGTTTCCAAAGAAGACATAATCACCAATTCTGGCCACAGTCGAGGGCTGGCTCATTGGGAATTGACTCTCCAACTTGGACATTTGGAGTTTTCTAATAGACTTACCGTCTTTTTGAAATGTCAAGTTAAAAAGCCCACCTTGCTTATCAGCGATAAGTACAGAGCTATCAAGTACTTCCACCTGACAATCCTCCAAAAACACATCTAGAGCTGAGAGGTCCTCCAGTTTGAAATCTGTACAGTCTTTGTAGTATTCGTTCACACCTATACCTTTGGTATTTCCTGAGTTATCAACGTGGATAATCTCATTGCAACCTATGAGTAAGAGCCCGTTACCTGGAAGCGATTTCACACTCCATATATCGAGGGGTAAATTTTCCAAGTTTATGATTGGTGTTGAAGAGCCCGTGGCCAGGTCCAAGTTCAACACCACCAAGTTCACGGTATCCTTGTGGATTGTCAAATCAGCTACCCACGCGGGAGTTTCATTATAAACAATAGCCAACGTTGGATCTCTATAGTTGTGCAAGAACTGACAATCAATGATGTCGTGTATGGATGCGTCCAGCTTTGAAGATGGGATGATGGTGGATTTTAACAGGAATTCGGTTGAATGTTGCTGGATGGTTTCGTCGAGATCAAGGTCATCTTCAGACGCCGCCAACGGTAAGAACGCCAGAATATCCTTGTGGAAGCACAGCGCCGCCTTATAGTTCGGATCCATTCGCAGAGATGCCTCCGATAGGCCGTTCGTGTGTAGCCTCTTGAACTCCAATTCGTAGTAATGCAGTGATTCAGTCTCCAGAGACCGTTTTGCCATGTTATACGAGACAATACTCAACTTGGCAAACTTCGTAAGCAACACAAGCTTGTGGTACCTCGACCCACCAACTTTGACACGCTCCACACCGAGCACCTGTCCTTGTAAGGTGTATTCATCAAACAACACCAGTCTATCGTCCTCGATACGAAACACCTGCAACAGCGTATTCTTAACCACAATGAGGTCCTCGCATTGCAAGGACGTGAAGTTTGCCACCGTGCAGTGTGTCACCGTCGAGGGATTGACAATCTGGTCGTACACCTCCATCGTACCGCTCTATCAATCAAACCAGCCGCTGTGTTTACGGGTTCGTTGTTGTTGTTGTTGTTGTTGATGTTGACGTTCAAAAAGTAAACACACACAAATGTAAACTTGGTGGGCCGCTGAACAAGTCCGTAGCATAAAAAGCGAGCACAGAGGGAGAAAAAACTACAGAAAAAGCCAAAGTGGTGCACGGGTGTGTGATTATATAACGGTTATGTAATCAACCGCACAAGCCAAACGACACACATATAGTGGTGTACGGATGTATGATTACATAACCCATTACATAATCACACCCGCACACCGTCCTGAGACAGCCCGGACTAAAAAGAGAGAAAACAGAAAGCGAAAGCGAGGGAGCTTTCCTGTGTCTTCGCGCCGCAGGCTCAGAATAACCCCGACGGAAAGGAGTTAAGCGGCGATAACTTCCCAATCGCACCGTGCGAAATCGTGTTGTCCTGGTTGTTCTGTACTCCAAGAGCGCTTGAGGCCGGCCCGACATGCGACCTTTACACAGCGTCCGATGCTAGATGAACCACCTTGTTTAACAGCTGCTTCCGACGCCTTTGAGTCCGAGGCATTACCAGCCAATATTGGGTTGAAACCGACTCCACGTCCATAGGGATGAGCCGATGGGGGCCATTATTGACGCCAGAAGCGGTTCCATAACCATCGGAGTGGCGCACTGGTGCAGTGTCTAGTAGCTTGAAGCTAGTCGACCGTGCTCTTAGCATCATCAACGTTACCCTCAGTATTACCGAATGCAGAGTAAGAACGTGGGACTTTGCGTATGTCATTTGACTTCGGCGCAAATATGGCTACATGACACACAGTGCCAATCCTAGTAGCAGTTGTACATACCCAAGTCTTGTCCTTGGTGCTTATGTAGCGTTGTAGGTGCCCATGTTCAGATCTGGTGAGCTTCAGTACAGAAGAGTACCGATATCGACAGCGAGGGACCGGAAGATGAAGGTTTAACTCTCGATAATCGCTTAAACATACATCGCAAATGCTCTCTTATGGTCGTCTTCGTGGTGATTTCAAACGACTCTTTGAAATTGGAAAAGTGTTAGCATATCCAGTTCCTTGAGATGAATTGAGAACCTCTCCGATCTCAAAGCATGCCGAGAATGGTGAGATAATGAGCAAAACAGGGATAACAAAGTACCATCGCTAATACGACACTCGTGGATTTCAGAACCTCAGCGTATTCCACCTCTGCTCTAGTACACATCCGATATATGGAGAGGTCCAAGCATACTACGCCTTGCGAACATTCTACGGAGATAGTCTCTATAGATTCTAGTGAATGATCATAAATTATCGTGCAGTAGTAGGTTTTATCCTAGATTCACAGTTCTTGGCCTGTCTTACATTAGGGCCGTACAGTTCAGCGTCTGTCAATCTCATTGAGAAGAGCAGAAATCGGGGGAAGACGTGAGGTTGAAGATGCAGACGAGCTAGGAGCTAATAGTTTGGCTTGACGATGTTCGTGCTCGCGTTGTCTACCTGCTGGTTGATACGAGGACATCGGTTGTGCTTGTTGTTGCAATAGAGGTGGTGGCACCCTATGCACCGTTGAAATTCCCGGCTCTGCTGAGAAAGAGATGCCAGAATGCTGCTGTGGTTGTGGCTGTTGTTGAAAAGAGGGAGGAAAGCATGGTGGAGGCGGTGGAAGCTGCTGCTGAGGAGGTGATACTCCTTCAACAACACCGAATTGTTGTAGTGGAGATGATAATGAACTCGAACGGGAACCATTGACCGCAGTCGGCTGTCTGTAAAATGGCTCACTGACAAGCTTATAGTGAGGGACTGCATGATGAAGCTGCTGTTGATAGATGGAAGGTGGCAATGCCATCTGGATTTGGGGGAGTAACTGTGGTGTAAAGGTCATGGAAGTTGGCGATACCGTTGCCGAGTTATTCGTCGAGATTGAAGATCTCCTCTGACCCTCAAGCCCATGAGGTTGACTATTCGCAACCCTTCTCTTACGTCTCTTCACAGCATTGAACTTTATGAGTTTCTGATCAATCTCTATGAATATTCCCTTGTCTTCTTGCTTGCTTTTCCTGTGGACCCCGTTCTTCTTGAAGAACAGCCCACATGCATTGCAAAGGTTGTTTCCCTGTGGGTCTTTCCTCCAGAGCGAGGTGTTGATGCATTTGCAGTTAGAGCAGCTGATCAAGTTAGCGTTGTTCAAGTCCTCGTCGTGCACTTGCACGATCTTGGTCCTGTTTGGGTCAGACACTTCCATGGAAACGCAGTCCATGATCTGTTTATACTTCTCCAACTGTGACTTTTTAGTGACAAGAACCTTAGGCCTATGCACACCTTTGGTCTTGTAGTACAAGCCACAGGCATTGCACAGATTCACCGGCAAGCCAGTCGCATTGTCGTTGAGTCGTCTCCACATAGGCGTACTTGTCGTATGGCAGTTCATACAATAGCTCATCTGCATCATAGGATTGTGGTTGATAGATGGAATCATTTATCAATCTTCAAGCAAGAAACACTGCCGAGCTATAACTTGCTCGAGTGCTTTTGCAAACAGCAGATATGATCTGTTTTATATCCATAGATGAGCAAAAGAGAGGGGGACTCCAAAACTATTCACAGGTGCTTAAGACAGCTTTGGTTTGGCCATGACCTAACAGACAGAAGCGAAGAGTCCCTACACGTTAGGCCATAAGCTTGTTCCTCTGGACGCGCTGAAGACATAACCCGATGTGCATTGCTACGCAGAGCAGGCGACGCAGCTCAGATCTTGCAAAGGCGAATTGCATGCGCTGCTTAGAGGCACATTCGGCGTACTTGTTCGCTTTGGAAGGGGAAGGGTTTGGGATATGGATTTGTAATCTGTTTCAGAGCAAAGTCCGGACGCTGAGAGGTATATAATTGGGGCTCCTCGGTGCTTGTTTCAACATGCGCATGTTGCGGGAGACGGGGGTCTGATGTGTGGTGTCTGATGTGTGGTGCTTATCTGTGACGGAAGCCTCTTCGCTGTGGGACGAGAGGTGGTGACTTAGCAATATGACACGTATGTGGGCCGTTGTAGCAATCGTCGTTGGCTCAAGTAGAGAGCACTCCACTAATCAGTTTTGTATATCACGCATTGCACTCTAGTTCCCTTCGACCATGGTGTAGCGAATAGCACACTGTACAGAGAGAAGGTGGAGGAGGGAGGTGTTTATCCAAATAAGATCTTGCTGGTATCGCATGATGACTCGCTAGATGTTTGTTCTTTGTTGGGTTCCACTTGTAATTTGTAGGGTGGCAGCCGTTACAGCCTTGTATCTCTAGCATGAAGGATGTATGTGCTCACGAACCAATGTCCAGGACACTCTCTAAAGCTCAGAGCTTCGGTGTGAGGATCATTTCTCCATACTCGAGAACAGCTTGTGCAACTACAATAGAGGATAAACTTAGACTTGGGCAACCAAGAATACACTCTGAGTATCAACCATATTTACACAATATTCCAAATGAACTCTTCGCTTGAGTGTATGTAGTCTAAAGCACTTTTGCCCACCCTGCATCTGCCTTTATTGGCTCTGTTTTCTTAGCTCAATGTGTTCTTTTTATACACCAGGCCTTGTTGAAAGCTCAAGCACCAAGCTTGCCATGACGTGGAACCATGAGAAGCAACGTTGTTTTATTATTCTGTGTTGTGCGATACGTAGTCGTATGCTTACATGTGCTAGCTGGATACATACATGTGTAGCTTATAGAGTTGTAGGGCTTTAACTGGTGCCAGTGCCGGCGTTGCCGGAGAGCTTTTGATCGATCTTGACGGTGTCTGGGATGGGATTATCATGTCGATGATCTTTTGATCATTTTGGGCTTGATGGCAGAGCACGTCACCTAAATCTTAACGGAGGAAGCTCCTGTACAACAGTGGATGATGTACTCACCATATTGAGTTTGGTTACTTGGACATGACAGCAAAAACAGCGGTGAATTGAGATCTTCAAGAGCATCTTAACGGTATAAAAAGACAAGGTGTGTCAGACCATCATCCGTGGCATTTATCGAAATGAACATTTTCAAGAGTATGTCATTAGACGTGTCTTCGACAATCGGGAACCAGAACTACCAAGGTGTCGTGTTCCTCTTCCGGTTATAATTGCTCATAGCTAAGGATTCTAAAATGGGTGTACCTCTTGGTGAGAGCACCAAGGACGAACCACCAAAAGGAATAAGAGTAAACTTCATGACATGGACAAACTCTTCGCAGAGATTACGGAGAAGGGGTGTGCGAAGCTCACTGTATACAAGCGGGAAACCCTGTTTCGTTCCCTCTAGAGTTTCCCAACAGGCATACAGCCAATGTAGATCGTGTTGTGTTGATGCAGTGTGCTGTTGATGCAGCGTGTCAAAAGCCATTTCTTGCTAGAACAAGGTCGACAAAGTACACACGTGCATACCCACAATGCATATCTCTGAAATCACAGTCTAAAGATAGATATGCTTACCATGAGTCGTGGACTTGTGTACACATCAAATGCACATAATTGCGACACCAACGTACAGGTGCCCGTGCTTGGGCATGCTATATAAGCATAGCTAGGGGGAGATGGATAACAAAGCTGTGAGAAACCATCTCCCAGCAGCTGGGTGCGATGTGTACGCATATCGAGAGTTTTGAGCCGCAGATTTAGATCAGTTCTAGAAGGAGATCGGTGCTCAGTAACCAGCTTTCATCGTCATCAAGAGATGATGCTAGCAGTGGCATGTGCTGGTGTTACAACTTGGCAGTGTGTGCTATATGCTGTGTAGCACCAGTATCTAATAAACACACGACAATTGCTTCTCAAGCCTTTTGCCATGGTTATTATACACCAGTGATTGAAATGAGACTTCACAAGCTCTTCTGGAAAGTTGCCCAACGTGAATTCCGATGCATACAGCCCTTTCTGCCTGGTGCCTGTGTGAAGGTGGAGTTGCAGCAAGCAACATAAACTACAGCATGTACCATGTACGTGTAACTTCGTACTCAATGTTGAGACGTTGAGCCACCTTCAATATGAGCAGTAAACGTCAAACAGGTTGTATACGAATCGGCATCTGTTTTTTTCCCGTGGAATTAGCTCCCTATTGCGTTTTCCCCTTCTTCTTTGAATACGAAATGATTACTTACAAGGCATGGCAGATAGTTCGTACCGTTATTCGTAGATTCTACAGGTTTCTCGACGTATTCAGCAAATCATCATCGATCGATTGTACAACTTTCAACATCATGGCAACTTTTACCGGCTTTGAGTAGCAACCGAACCTAAGAGTTAGGCGGAGATGAAAACACCAAGCATACAGACTAAAGATCTATACGCCAGACCTTCGTGATTATCAACAATCCTCGTAATATGGACCTGTTAAGCCAAACCACGCAAGCTCCAATGTGATATCATGCTGTTCGCCTCCTGTTGTCTTATCGCAGATGCGTTATTTCAAGTAGCCATGGTCACTGTACATTGTTTCGCATTTGAGGATCTTTCACCTCTTTCAAATCCAACTGCATGAGAAATGTTATGCAGAGGATAAGTTATGTATAATAGCCGTTTGTGTTTTAAAGCCTCAACGTATGCATTGCTTCGTTAAAACTGTGATGATCTTTGTGATTATGATCTTGCTAGTGGGTGTATTAGAGCCGTCTATAGAATGTAACTCCGTGTGATGTCTGGAAGGACTGGTTAGTTGCACTGGGAAAGAGCTGAGATCGAGCAGTATATCATTTACACGAGTTGTCTTATTTCGGGTAGCTCATAAGGCCCCTTCAACATTGTAGCCTTTGGCTCCGTGGTCTTGTATTGGATGTCCTTTTGGCCCAATAGGCAGCAAGTGTAAGAGGCTCAACAAAGTCTATAAATGGCCAACATCAGCCTTGCATATCACACGCTAGAGCAGGCATGCACAGTTCGCAGGAAGTTAGCTCAACAGTGAGGATATGGTTCCAGATTGTATTGTTATTAGTAACCTATATGAGTAGAGCAAGTGGCTGGAGTCATCAGTGAGATACAATAGCCGTCAAGGAGTTGCAAAATACGTAAGCTATAATGAGCTATCTGTTGAGAAAGGTGTTGAAGTAAACAAGAAAGACACAGATACAACAGAGAGAGTCCTTCAAATCTGACGGTATAAGCTGTAGATCTGTCGTTCAAGTATTCACTTTATCTATTGTTCTGGTCAAATCCAAGCTTCCTACGATTGCCATATCATATTAAACTCCGGTTATACGGGATGAGTCACTTCCAGAAGGGAGATGTGGTAAACGTAACGGTTTTGTATGTTCAGTACTAACGTCATTGTCTCCCTTCCTTGAAAGCACATGCTGATGTGATACTTACGGGTTTTAACCATTGTATGATTGTTGCATGATGCTTCTTTTCACCGTGGTGTTTTATTTCAAAAGAGTTGTTTCTGTATACTGTGTATCACAGTGATAAGCACCTGGGCTCTTAAACAAGCACTGTTGATCGTGCACTTCAGTGTCATGACATGTTTACTCGGTGTCACTGAAAGTGTTTCGCATTTCCTGGGATACATTTGAGCAACCTCTCCAACTATGGAAGACCATCAAACACCGGGTATAACATCACAGAATGGAACTGTCTTTCTGCATCATCACCTTGTGAATTGAAACTTGTTGGCTCATCGATCTAGTAGAAGAGGAAGGAGATTTCAAAGTGCTAATTCGTCTTAAACAGAGGGTATTTGTATGGGCCTAACAGCAGTGTTCTCCTCCTATTGGCCAGTGCTCTTCGCCTTTAAAATGACACATCAATACTCAGGGTGGCTTTCCCCTCACGGAACGCTCTCCTATAGAAACCATCATCAACTTGGCCCAGTACATGTGCTCTTCTCTCTGTGAACAACTCCACCAATGGTGAAGCCCAATTAGGTATTAAAACGGTATTAAAACTCATACTAGAGCACGACACTCACACAGCTGCCACATTGATTAGTTCATTGGTGCCAGAATCATACACCACAGCTGGGCATAAATGTAAGACACTGAATTAAACATTAACGGGCCATTTGTTGCCTCATAGTACTAGAGCCCTGATGGCGATTGAACAGGGTGTGCAACTGAGCTCTGTTCCTCATCAAACTCTGGGGTTGTCTATGTAAAATCACAACGGTTCTTGGATACGGTAAAGTACTGTCCATCCTTCATTACTGTGGATACTCTGAACTTCTTCAATAGGCATCATCATACATAGAGAGGGCGTTCGCTCTGGCTTGCTTAACTGGGCTAGCACAGAAAGACGTATTGCTGGTGTTATTAAGGGAACTTTGCAAACGTGTAACCACGGTTTCAAACCACAGAATGCTGTAACCACTTCAGTACGACTGAATACTGCAGGCTACGCCGATTCTTTGGTGATGAGAGCTGTAAAGTGACACAAAACATAGATCTTTGTAACACAAAGACCGCCAATTGATGATAAAAGGACGGCTTTGCTCAATTTCTCTTCCTCTCTTTCACCACCCACTTTCTTCTTCTTAAAACTAACATCATGACGATAAAACTGATGGAATACGCAGAGCTTCACTTTGATTGTGGGTGCCATCACTGTGACAGCCCGTGGCAGCCCGTGGCACACTGACACATCATGCACTGCTGTTGTGATAATTCTATGTCAAAGGTTCTGTGATAAGTGGTGAGGTTCCATCAACGGTTTCTGTCCAGTCGGAGATGATAACCAAGTCATGACTCACATGAAACTTTTGGAACTATCATTCCAGTTGCCGGTGATATATGTCACGTACCATAGGTTGGATATGAACACCAAGAAGCCAGCAATCACTAGCAGGTGCTGGTATTGACGTGGGATGTTTGAAATACATTGACGTTAGCTGTTGAAGATCATCACGTCCTGGTCCGGCGTGCTTGGTTGTTGACGGTTGTTGTCATAGATATCCACACATCTACACTTTACTGGCATTGCTTGAGGTTATACTTGGATGGAAAGTACCAGAGAGGTCTTTGCTTGCATGTGATGATGTTGTTTGAGACCATTGGTTCTTGGTCGGAGCCAATGGTTGAGAACAATTGCTGTCATCTATGTACAGAGAGAGTCTCAGTGTACTGACAATGCATTCCGTTGTACTTCCAAGGGTGATGTAACGCAGGGTTGACATGACTACCGACAAGTGACATTAACTATTACAGGCCATTAGTTCCTGGTCCGAACATCTTGGTTGGTGATGGTTGTTGTCACTAGTTGTTGAGTCATTCACACAGGACACTGGAATCTTTGCTTGGTATTATTCCATCCAAAAATGCTTTCGAAGAGAGACTCGACAGCTTGCAAGTGGTGATGCCTATTTGATACCATTTGTTCACTCTTTGAACCCTTGGTTTAGAACAAGTATTTCCACACGGTGCTTGCTCATTCTGAGGGTACCACCTTCTCTTTCAGGCGTGTTTCCAACATGGCTGACATTCATGTTAACTTAGCTACTTGACGTGGAATTCCCTGTTTGAGAACCATCAGTTTCTGGTCAGAACTGATTGGTTAAGAATTGATGCCACCACGTCTGGCCAATCATGCACAAGGTACTACCATTGCCAATGGAAATACGGGGACGTACAATGGTACGAGAGATTGATGTGAATAAGCCGGTGGTAACGACTATTCAAAGCTGTGGGATTCTGGTCAAAATCTCATGTTTGTATGTTGTCATCGTCATATACTGTTCAGTCATCTCTCAAGGTTTTGAAGTTGTTCTCTCTTATGCCTCAAGCAGTATGGCCACGGATTTCTGACAACCATGTGATACTTATTGCTTCAGAAACTTGTGGCCCTTGTTTGGTGATGATTGTTGTCACACGCTGCTGAGTGATTCTCAAGGTTCTCGGATTGTCAGTTGGTCTACTTCCTCGAGTAATGATATTGAAGACCCAGGTAACTAACCAGTGGTGATGACTGTTACACTCCACTTATTTCCTGGAAAGGGTCCTTTTGGTTTGAAGTGGTTGCAAGCACATGTGCTTAGTGGTTCACAGGGTCTCTACTCGGCTCGCTGGTATACTTGGACGAACCACGGCTTTGAGATTTGACTTGGCTGCCAGCAGGAATCGTTCGCTTTCTGAGACCGTTGAGCTCCAGGCCAGAACCGTTGGCTGACGATTGTGGCCTTTATATGCTTCCAGTCATTTCTAAAAGTACTAACTTCTCATTCTGCTATACGACAAAGAGGCATGTCACAGAGGTTTGGCATTACTGTTAGCATGCCATCTCGCTTAAAGGCCAACACAACTTACCCCATTAACAACAAGTTTTTAAGGTATATTCCAGCTGGAATACCTATTTTTATATAGTATAGCATAGTTACGGTTTACACGTGGAGTTGATAAGGGTCGGCTATCCCTCATTTGTTTCCGTCGTTGTTGATCTTGGACCTTGTCATCTTATCTGTTCTTCACAAGGCATAACGGGGTTGTCCTATGGTTACGAACCCTTGTAAAGCGAGCAGTGGCTATTACAAAATCAAAACACCCGGACACCCAAAACATGCTTAGTCAGCAGCAGACAACCTCAGCAGGGCATCATGTCAACTTTCAAATCGGAGGATTCCCCTTCCAACTTTGACTGTTCCATCATTTTGAGCCGATCGTAAATTGGTATTCGTTCTCCACCCGGTTTCCTTTGCTTCGATCGTGATTCCAAGGCAACACCCATTGCATTGATCTAAATATAGAGAGAAGGCCATGTCCAAACGTCCTCTACCTAAGAAAACAGTCTCCTTCAACGATGTCAAGTCATCGCCCACGACGGATGATCCAACGTATCAATTACAGTTCTCCCCAAAGTTGGTTCCAATCCACCTGATTTATATCTTCTATTCGATATTCAAAGGTGACCTTTCACCTAGAAATGTTATCCCGCTGTTGAACTTCCACCTGGTGCTGTTGCTCTCATCACAATTGCTCTATGTTGTTGTGTTCAACTCTTCGATCTATGAAACACGCAAGTCCAAACAACGTCAGCTGAGTTTCTCCATCGCTAAGGAATACAGTGCCATGTTTATAGGGTTGTTGGCCAGTGTCATGCTGACTGTTCCTCTATACGTTGCATTAGTTCTGTTTGGGGCTCCTTTTACAACGTACACGTGGGAGACCTTGTACTTGGCATCGCACATGGCGTTGTTATCGTTCCCAATTGTTGTTGCAACCTTGAGAATTGGACGCCAGCCGTTATTGTACAAGTACTTTGCCAGCATTGCGATTGGTGCTTGGTTGGGTGCCATTGCCATCCCATTGGATTGGGATAGACCATGGCAGAATTGGCCATTACCTATCGTTGGCGGTGCGTATGGGGGTGCCATTGTGGGGTATACCTTGGGTGGATTCGTGTAAGGAACCCTTTGAATATCAACTGTGTATTATATATATATTTTTTTTTACTTGATATCTCTGTATATCTTGTTCAGTTGGTCTTTTGTAAATGTGTCAGAGTAGTTTGTTTTGAAATCGTTCTGGACGATAACCTTTGCAGGACCTTTGATCTCGTAGAGTAGTCTGTTTTTCAGGAATAAGCTGACTAATTCCATGGATATCCATGCTTTGAATCTATCAAATACATTTGGTTTGTGGACTTCGACCAGTTTGGCATCTTCAGGTTGAGCTTCAGGTGCAATGGTGGTGGTGGTGAGTGCTTGCTTTGGAACCAGACGTTCGTACAACTTCTGTGCATTCAAAGTTATTGTATTCCACAAGCCAAACTTTGGCAAGTCCAAGAGTCTTAGCTTGTGGAAACTTGTGGAATTCTCGCTTTGGTAAGCAACGATACTTGAAGGGTTAACAAAGAGCTGTTCACCATCAGCCAATTCCAAGGTGAAAACTTGTCTTGAACCATTCAAAATTAAATCACCCCTTGACTGACACGTTACCTGGACTCCGTGTATTTGGCTATTGATCTGTAGAGCACCATACCATCCAGTTATATGATCTGTATTCAAAACGCTCCAAGTCTGGTTCTCATTCAATGGCAAGTGTAAGAATCCATTTTTATCGGAAAGAATCAAGGACAATGGTGAAGTTGATGTTATTTCGTTATACAACAGTGGTTTCCCCTTCCAAAGGTTCAAGACGCTCAGTTTCGAGGATAACTTCTCCAATGATCCGTTTGCAGCGACTAGGGATCTCGAACGACAATTGAGCACAGTTGAAGGCGGTAGTGTAACATGAAGCAAGGTTGGAGGTGTTCCCAACGGTTCAAATTTAGGATACTCGATGAACAACCCGGCGCCGGTGTTTGTTGGTAGATCCTTCCAAGATTGCGGAATGGCACCCTTTGATGAGTCATTAATCACTGTATGGAGTGATCTCTTGATTGGATTTCTAAACATCGTTATACGAGCTAGTTTTCACTTCCTCTATGTGGTGAGTTTTCTTGTTCGAAATTGTAAAAAATTCCATATTATAGAGATAGAAACTCCCCGGGCAAAGTCTGGGAAGAAGCGCGTTTTTTCCTCTGTGTAAGTGTCACTTGTAAAGAGAGGACCGCCATGGGCACACAACCCACCGAACAACAAGAACAACAACACACCATGGATAAGGAGGAGCTCTCTGAATATCAACAGATCCTTGTGTTCTTAGAATCACCGTCTACAACACAGGTCTTAGCGCCACTCGATGGGGACGGTAGGGAGTTCTGGACAACGGCAGAGGCCGACCCATCTGAGGACATTGAGATTGAGATCGATGGGGAGACAAAGACGTATACAAGGAAAGAGGCCATAAAAGCTGTAAAGAAGAAGATAAAACAGCTGGAATCAGTGTAGTTTTGGTGGTCTTTTCCTTGTCTACTTCGTTTGTTCCTTTATTGGGGGGAGCACCTGCTTATATAGTCAAAAGTTATGTTGTTGTTGATATAGCCGCTGACCATTTTGAATAACAACAATTAGCCGCTGACCACTTTATACCAGAAGTACTAGTTAACCGCTGACTACTGTGTGTCACCTGCGCTAACACTCTGACCACCACCGTTGGCCATTTTTGGAAATCACCGTAAAACGCGTTCTTCCATAGTCACAGATCAATGAAAAAACACGAAACAAAACTAAAACCACAAAACCGTAAAGTAAACAAAGCCACAAAACCGTAAAGTAAACAAAACCCACGGACCCCATCTCTATAGCGTGTTGAAGCCTGAAGAGAGAAAATGTCTGAAGATTTACCTTCGGAGCTCGATGTGAAGCTGCTGAATGCAAAATACGTTGAATACAAGCTGGCTGCTGAAAGAGAAGAGGAGGAGAGCTTGAAAGAGACGCTTTTTGATGAGGAGGACTACGATGGGGCAGAAGATTACGACGAAGAAGACGATGATGACGATGATTATATTGACAACTATGAGCCGCAAATGAAACAGTCTCCTAATCGATTGCTCAAACTGGTGCTGAGATCAATATTCAAGCTGAGGAAACACTGGCTGTTGACATCACTAGGAATCTCAATCCTGGTGGTAAATTGCTTTATATGGAGTTCTGCGTGGAACATTTCGCATCCTTCCACCCAGATCGTGTCGAACGTCTCAACTTTTGGTGATATAACCAAATCAATACATAACTTGCAATGGCAAATCAATGAGCTGAACAACAGGCAAAAGTCCAAGTTTCAGGACTTGCGGAACTACATCGATCTCAAGATGGATGAAGTTTCATCAAAGTTTAAGAAAGTGGACCAACAAGTTGACGATATCAAGAGGTCCAATGAAGCTTTGCTCTCTCAGTTGAATGCACTCTCGTTGGATAACATCCAAGTTGAGTTATCTAAAATACCCGTGATTATAGACGACGATAAGAACATTCAACTGTTACCAGAGTTCAAGGATTATCTACAGTCCTATATCAAATCTTCGTTGTCTTCGAATGAAGTACAGAGACAATTCCAGCTCAATCTACAAGGCTTCATCTCGGATTACACGCAGGAGATTATCCATTCCAAAGTTGGATTTATGAACAGAGAAGAGATCCTGAAATTGATTTCCCTACAGTTCCAGGAAAACAAGAGGAAATTGATTGACGAGATCAAGCAGCTAACAACGAGATCCCTAAGGCCAAAAGAAGTACCAGAAAAGCTGGTTTCTAGTTCGGGATATGTTAAACAGGATAAAGTGGATTATGCACAATCCTCAAACGGTGCTCGTATCATCAACTACCTCTCCTCTAAAACTTTTAAACCACGTACAAAATCCAAGTCTTGGCTTCTAAGTGTCTTTTCTGCTTCGAGCCCAACCACCAATAACCACAATGCCAATGGCTATGAAAATCAAGATCCAGATAATTGGGATGATGTCAACCCTACCTCTCCCTTCATCGTCTTGACACAAAACGATGGGTTTTGGAAAACTGAAGATATTAACGGCACCATTGGTATCAAATTCTTAGAACCTATCTATATGGATGAGTTCCTATACGAGCACAAGAGAGTATTCAATAGTGCTCTGTTGACGTCATGTCCAAAAGTCTTGTCTATCTGCGTGCAAAGTGATGACGACGCCTACCTACAAGAACACACCCCATTCGCAAACGAACAGAGAGGGGATAAATATACCAAGGTCTTGGAGTTGCACTATGATCTTAACGATGATGCTATACAACATGCTGAAGTACCTAGTTGGCTCAAGAAGGTGCTGATCAAATCTATGATTGTTAAAATAGATGGGAACTATGGTAACGATTTCTTTACAAGTTTGTACAAATTTCACATCCATGGCATCACTAGATTTGACGTTCTTAGTGTGGAGAAGCTTATGCAAAACACCGAGATTAGTGAGGCTGTGAAGAGAGGTTTCAGAACTACGGTGAACAGCTTTGGGTCTGACGAAAGGACTTAATTTTTTTAGTCCCATGCCATGTGTTCAGAGCCTATTTGTTCGTGGAGCAAAAGACAAGTTTTAAACGACAACATCGGTGTTTGCGCAAGCAACAAACTACCTTATAGTTCACATTTATGGTTGTTATACCTCCCATCTTGACGTCATAGCTGCTGTTGCGTCCCCGATAATAATCTGATTGAACAAACGTCATCAGGACGCTCTGGGAATTCCAAACTTTGGTCTTGACCAGGTTCTTGGAAGGCCTCAGCCTACATCGTACGCCCTTACGGATGTGGGAATGTTGCTGCCATGTACCTTAATGTATTAGGGAGAGAGAAAAAAAGGACTGGTGCATAAAGTATGGTGCTCAAAAGTTCAAAACTACTTGGTTCTTGTTATTCCTCCATGCGGTTATTGAAAAGGATTCGACTGTATAAATCATCGGATTTGGCACAGCCTTCAGATGGGGCTTTAGCTTCTTTTTGAAGGCCCATTTCGGAAGGTTTTTTTTTACATCTCAGAATAGGGAATGTCCAGTTTTCGCAGCTTTAAGTGGGCAGAGTTATACGAAGAACTTTTCGTTCAAGAATTTGTGTGTGTATGGAGGTCTTGTGGATTATTTGGGTTGGCTGATTGAGCCCTTTTTGCTCATTTTTCACACGGAAAAGGCTAAATGCAAACACTTCTCTCTCTCTCTGGGTAAAAAGGGAAATTTCTTGGAAAACCTTCATCGCGGGAGTTTATATAAAGCCGCAACGGTAAAGAAGAAGTTCTTTATTTTTTGCATTATATGAAGGGTTCTGTTCTCTCCTTTTTTACTTTTATCTTCTTCCAAATTTTGGAATCGCTTTGAACTCTTCAAACGGTTTCTGTGGGTGTTTTTTCCGACATTGGATCTATTTTCACAGACGTTGCCTGACAACACATCACCCCTCTCTCACTATTGCCGTTGTTGCTGGTGGTTATCAAGTTTAAATACCTCGAATTGACTTACATAATTCGGTTTGTTGGGGTAATAACGTCATCGGCTAATCCACCGTTTTTTCCAATTTACCGCGTCGAAGATTGACAGTGATTACAACCGAGCTTGAACAACCAGGGACAAAAATAAAACTTTGCTCGCCAACGGCTCTCGAAAATTATATCTTCCCTGCACATCCGAATTTCTCTATTCGCATACCCTTGTGCGAGATCGACTGAGCAGGTGGTGGCATTGAATTAAGCTGAACTGGAGAGATCAGAATTTTGTCAAATTGATCGATTTGTACCATGGTGTTTTCAATTTTGAAGAAGAAGTTACCACCGTTGAACGTTGGACACAGCATTTCATCTGATCGCTCTCCAACATCGACAGCGTCGGACTCTGATCGAGGAAATGCATCGTATGTTTCTTCTTCGAAGTCGTCGATACACACGACCTCTCCACCTCTTGATGAGAAAATAAGTCCGGTACTGACTTTGATGAAGTGTCAATCCACGAGACCATATGTCGAAGGTGTTGTAATGGTGAGCACGGAACGTCCAAGCTCCATTGCGGGACAGGATAACACCCAATTCCAACAGGCGAATGCGGCAATAAGAGGTAATTCTTTGCTGCTGAACACTCAGAGGAGTGTTAGTTTGGATTTACTCGAGGCTGCGATTAAAGTCACCCCCGGTGACCTCACAATCACCTTATCGACGTCTAACAAAATTTCATACCTTTTGAAGTTTGACAACTTGAACACGCTACAAGAGTGGTTGGCTGCTATTCACTTGGCAAATTTTGAATATACAAGATTCAATGAGATTTATACAGCGTCGTTGTTATCTGCAAAGGCCACGTTGTTATCCGATGTTCATGTGCTAATGGCACCGTTGAACTATCGCAGGGAGGAGTGGGTAAATATCAAGTTTAACAAAAACTCTCAGTGGCTCCGTTGTTTTGTCATTATAACACCGAGCTCTAAGAAGTCTAAGGGTAAGATGACGTTCTATTCCTCCTCAAGAACCGTAAAGAAGAACTTGATATGCTCGATCACTCATATGGACGCATGCCACGCTGTTTACCCACACGTTCCAGAAATGATTGACGAATCTTCCCTGATCAAGATTTCTGGTGATATCAAGATATATAACCTTGGACACCAACCAGACGATTTTGATATTGATACACCTACGGAATTTACGCCACCACATTCACCAGTACAGCTGAAATCTGCATCGAGGTTGAAAAGAGCTGCTTCACTTGCGTCAATCGGTTCATTCGCATCTCAAAAACAGAACAATGGTCATGGTAGAGCCGATTCTATTGGTTCAACAGCATCAGTGGCTTCAAACTCATCTGACATCAAGGGTGGGGTTGTTGTTCATCAATCTGCAATGTACATTATGCCACTAAAGCACGGCGGTGTTAAACCGTATGAGACTATGATTAGAAATTTGATTCCTATCTATGACTGTTTTAAGATGTACGGCAGACCGAAGAGACTGATAGCAGATAAGAAGGATTCTAATTCGTTGTTGTTTGGATTACCATGCTTGCCAAAGGTGAATATATTGAGTTCAAAAGTTGCCACCAACTTGATTAGAGACAATTGGCAACTGATCTGTTCCAACGACAACGTTGATTATTACCAGATGTTCATCGTTCAACTGCAATCCCTTTACAGAGGAGATTCCAATTACCAAGGACATGGAAGTATAAAGAAATCACTTACAAGGGATTCTATGTTTGAGCATCCATTCCACAAGAGCAGTTCATTCGGCACTCCGGATTCGCAGTCGCCTCGTTATTCTCTATCAGTCAACGATCTACCAGCTGGAATGTCACAGGATGCCATTGACAGGATTCAAAAATCCACTGATGACTTCGCAAACCATGACTCTGTGACTCCAAGGGTTAGATCCAACTCTTCGTTGTCCAACAACTCAAGAGTTGCATCACAGCCATGGAAAACAGACACATACAAGAACCTGAGATCAATGGTTGAGGAAGTGAAAATTGGAGGCGACGAAGAATATGAATACGAAGATGCTGGATCCCATATTCGATTCAGCCGTTGAGCTGGGTCGCCGTGTTCTTATTCTCCTTCAATAATACAACCATACACTGATACATTTGGCATCCCACTGTTATTCTTATCGTATACAATACAGACACATTTTATATGAGAACGACCGCCTATTTGCTTATGGATCAACTGTGTAGCCCCTTCCTTAGCCATGCTCCTATTGCTGTATCGCTCATCTTCTTCACGTATATATTAAACAGGCTGTTATGACTTTGCAGTGATTTATGAAACCAGCACTGTGTCTAGGTAACTTGGTGTAGCACCACTGAACCATCTCTATGACACCAAGACCAACGAGTTGGTCCATGTTTGATGTTCTATACAGCACCATAGCAAAGACACTGGTAGAATATCACCGCAGGCACGAGTCACGTGACATGGTCTAATATCTGTTTACGTAAGTGTTTACGTAAGCCCTTATACCTCCGTGTGCCGCTTTAAACGCCGACGCCTCGAGCCGATGGTTTACAACAAACTGATCCCACCCGACTTCTAGAACGCATTCAATTGACGCTGTTCTTTTGCTCTTTACCTGTTGAAGCAAGCAGCCGATAGAGCTATACCGCACTGCTTAGGGATGCTACGTCTGCCGCTGTGCTTCGTGAAGCTTCCGCCTTGTGTATCTCGTGGCGGTCCGCTGCCCTGGAGCCGTGGGAGAATCGTTAGAGGACTTCATATATCATCGCAATTATCACCTATGAGGCTCGTTAAACCACGGATTCAGGTTGGTTCAGCGTTGCAGTGGTGTCGATTCCAGTCTTCGACCGCATCTGATGCTTCTACAACCTTGGAAAGGGATAAGCAGACGCCTACTGAAAAGCTGTCGCCCCACGACTCGAAGGCGTCGGGGTTCCAGGACATTAAACGACTCTTTGAGCTGGCGAAGCCGGAGACGAAGCCAATGCTTGGTGCCCTGGGGCTGCTGTGTATCTCCTCCGCGATATCCATGTGTATTCCGTTGGTTATTGGTAAGTTTTTGGATGCTGGGCTGGACTCTGGAGACAGCATCTCGATCTATGGGATGTCATTAAGCCAGTTCTTTGGGGCAATAACTGCTGTCTTTGTCGTTGGAGCATTGGCCAACTCTGGCCGTGTTGTTATATTGAGAACCGTTGGTGAGAAGCTGGTTGCAAGGCTGAGAACGAGAACTTTGAAGGCCAGCTTGGAACAAGACGCTGCGTTTCTGGACAACAACAGGGTTGGTGATTTGATCTCGAGGTTGAGTTCCGATGCCTCGATCGTGTCGAGATCCGTGACCCAGAACATCAGTGACGGTATTCGAGCTGTTCTCAGTGGTGGTGTTGGTATCACCATGATGATGCTTGTGAGCTGGAAGCTGACCAGTATTATGCTACTGTTGGCACCTCCATTAGGAGCAATGGCCTTTGTCTATGGTCGCAGAATTAGAAACTTGTCGAGGGACTTACAGAGGTCCATTGGTGACTTAACAAAGGTTGCTGAGGAGCAGTTGAACGCCACCAGAACCATCCAGGCTTATGGAGGTGAAAGGTTGGAAGTTGGGAAATATGCTGAAAACGTCCGTAATGTCTTCAAAATTGGATTCAAGGAAGCTGCCACCTCTGGTGTCTTCTTTGGAACAACTGGGTTCATTGCGAACATTGGACTCATTGCACTTTTAGGAATTGGTTCGTCGATGATCCGTGATGGCTCATTGACAGTGGGAGACTTGAGTTCATTTATGATGTATGCAGTCTATACCGGTTCTTCAATGTTTGGCCTTTCGAATTTTTACTCGGAGCTGATGAAAGGTGCTGGTGCAGCTGCACGTATCTTTGAATTGAACGATAGAAAGCCATCTATCCCATCTACAATTGGTATTAAGCCAACGATCAAGGATTTCCAGACGGACATTGAGTTCAGAGATGTCTCCTTCGAATACCCAACAAGACAAAACATCCAAATCTTTGATCAGTTATCCTTCAAGATCCATCCAGGTGAACACGTCTGTATAGTTGGTCCTTCAGGTGCTGGTAAATCTACTGTGACGTCGTTGTTGCTGAGATTCTACGACGTTTCTCAAGGTGGGATTTACATTAACGGCATCAACATTAAGGATTTCAACTTGAGACAGTTTAGAAAACAAGTTGGTGTTGTTCAGCAAGAGCCTGCCTTGTTCAGTGGTACCGTTTTGGAGAATATCACCTACGGCATAAAGGACTATAACGACTCTGGTTTGAAGAGTGCGTTGGATAAAGCTAACGTTGCAAACTTCATCAACGAGTTCCCAGATGGACTACAAACCATTGTTGGACCTCGTGGCACACAGTTGTCTGGAGGTCAGAGACAGAGAATTGCATTGGCCAGATCCCTGTTATTGGATCCACAGGTTTTGATCCTTGATGAGAGTACCAGTGCGCTTGATTCTAAGTCTGAGAAGACCATTGCACATACCCTTAACCAGAGATGCGCTGAGGGTAAGACCACCATATCCATTGCCCACAGGGTGAGCACCATCAAGCATAGTACGCGGGTCATTGTTCTTGGGTTGGAAGGGAAAGTTGTTGAAACTGGCTCGTTTGATCAACTTAGAAGCAAGCCAACTAGTGCTCTGAATGCACTCTTAGCCAAGAATGAGGAAAACGGCGTTGTCCTGGACAACGATGGAACCTCCTCAATGGCATCCGACGGCGTTGAGTCACAAGCGGACTTGGACGTTGTTGAAGAAGATCTGGAGACTGAAAAGGAGCTGGACCAACAAACCGAAAGAGATTTATCACTCAACCGTTAAATCTACAAGGGTTTAGTGGGGATGCTGAACCCTATGTACATACTAATCTGAGCACATCATCTTATTTAAACGAAACAATCCAACTATCACGAAGTCTAATGCACACCTGATTATCTCTGCTGTATTCTTTTGGGCCTTTACATGTCACATGGGCAACGAACGAACAAATAAACAAGCAAAGCGGGCATGCTGTTTGCTTTGTTTACTTTTCAAATGTCCCATCGATGATTTATGCAGCCTTGGGATTGAAGGAATTTCCTAATTGGGACAGTGTTACCCCTTTTTCGGTCCTCTGCTTTGCCGATATTGCTGTGGCGCGCATCAGTGTACATGTCCATGCATACAGTTACATGGAGAGGTTTTATCGCTTCTCGCACTTGTCTGTTTGTTGTTTTAGTACAATTTGAGAGGTTTATTTAGTTTGGCAAATGCTCTTGAGGTGTTAGAAATGCGTTGTATGGCAATTAGGCGCAGGTAGTGTCACAATGGAGAGGTTATTGTTGGGAGAATAAGCTGTTCTGGAAGGCTTGTGGTGAAAGGCCTCAATGGGGAGAGGTCTTTCGAATTAAAGATTAAATACGAACGTAGCATCACTTTCACCATCTTTTCTGTAAGTAACCACTCGATAACCACTTATACAATCAAGCAATTATGGCGCTGACATTGATATTATCTCAGGTAATCAGCCAACTCTCTGGCGTTAGCTCGTGTTCGACAACGTCTCCATCAACCATATGCTTTCTGTCGCAGACCGCCACAGCTACAACAACCACGGTAGCTTCAACCACCACCATTGAATGGAGCATGCCGTTAGTAAACAGCACCCCAACAAGTGATTATACTTCAGAACCGACACTGTATCAAGATTGCTCCACAGCAAGCGGCGTGGTTCCTCTACCAAACTACACACCACAGGATCTCTCTTATCGCCATGAATTGTTAAAATCAGTTGAAAACGAGGTTGGCCATCTATTATCTGTTGAGAACATCACCAGCGACAACAGTTTGTCTATTCAAAGCCGTCTCAAAGATATAAACAAAGTGCACAAAATACCAGGCTGTGTGCTAAAGCTCAGTTATGAGTTTGCCAAATTTTCATACAACTACGGACTCCCAATGACTAAAAGCACATGGAGAGCGTTCACAACCGTTGTGAATTTGGCATCTGGTGAACAAATCTTTCATAAGGGAGAAACCAGGAGAACGGGCATAAAGAGGCTTGTGAAGTTGCTCGATAACAAGGTGGCCAGCGATTACCCGAAAATCAAAAGGGAGTTTGACCCTTCACTCGCCAAGTTGGAAGTGCTATTCAAAAAGTCTGGAGTGGCTTCACTAGTAGAAGAGCTTCCATTAGTCCAGTCTGATGATCAATTCCAACAGCTAAAGAGAGTTATCGATGTCACTGGGTACCATTGTGAAGTCACGGTCAAGGTCTCTGAGCCTGTCAACGGAGAAGCTGGGATGAACATCACCATTGTTGTTGATGAACTATCCCCCTTGGATAACCAGCCACTTATACGACATAACAATTCATACTTTGTTCCAACGTTTGCGGGAACCATTGATGAAGACCTCTTGGAGGAGGCGTTGAATGGCATAATGGAGAAGCTCATTGATGGTTTGGATAACTTTGGAACGAAAGGTGTCAATTCCCATAGCTGAAGGCACACCTTCACACGTTGGCCACATATGTATGGTTATGTATAAATATGTATACATATGTATCACAATGCATCCGTATCTCTATATTTACCCAAAGCAGTAATTGGATAAGAAACTGCTCATTTGAGTAATTCCGAAACTTGCGAAAAAACAAAAATAGAAGCAAAGAAAATTTTTTTTGGCGAAAAAAAGCGACAGATTACGCAAAATGCCAACAACTTTTTCCGTTCCCGCATGTCTTACGTCTTTGTCTTTTCATTGGCTGGATCGGGTTTTCCTTCTGGTATCCATAGACCAGCGATATATACTAAACAACATCTATGAGCCAGTACATCTACTGCCATTAGTTACCTACACGACCACGGTGTCTTTGGCTGTTGGGTGGAGGATCCCTAGAAGTTAATAATTAACATGCAGTAAGTGTTATCATATGGTGAAATTCAGATATCGTCATGATACGTGATTTTTCTTTTTTTACAACCGATCTTTGCCTCCAATGCCCTGTCCCAACTTCGTAACGCCATGCCATGCTCTGTGTGCACTGTCTGCTGTGCAAGGCAAAAGTTTTTTCCTGCCACTTCCTTGCTTACTTTGCTCAATCGGAGCTGGAAGTGATATATATAAACCTTGGGAATTTCTTTTTATGTCCCAGTGACCGAATTTCAATCAAGGTACACAGTCACTGAACAAGGTATATACGTCTGAGTTTCACATTTACTACCCTTGAGTTTTTTAACGGTGCTTTGTCTTCTTCTTCTTCCTCCTCCCTCCTGCTCCTCTGAACAACAGCCACGGCAAGAGTGAAGCTTTGATTTGAGTATAAATCATCTTCGCTTTCACATCACTGCTTGAATTACGTCTTTATACAGTTGTGCGTTGAAAGGAGTCATTCACCGGGTATCAATTTAACTAAATATAGTCTCGATAATTTCCATTCAAGAGCTATATCTGGTGTTATAAAGAGCAGACGGTACAGTCCCGACTTTCTTCATTTGCATCTATCATTACATACAACTAAGGGTCTACCCCCTCGTCTCATCAAAGAGTACAGTACTACTACACATTACCAACAATGGTTGTTCCGTCAGTGGGTCTTGACCAAATCATGGAGCATGCTGTCTATGAATCTGGCTACAGCAAGGACCTCGATCGTTTTGATTTCGATTATAAATTCGCTCATGATCAGTTCGTGAAGGGCAGCTGTGTATTCCACAGAGTGCTGTTCGTCATAATGGCTGTATCACTTGCCTGCTTGGGAATCATTGCCTTGAAACGTCTATTCAGACCAGTGCTTCAGAGACCTTTGATACCACTATACAAGACCTCGGAAGAGTACTCGTCGTCCACTATCTCATCACAGGTCCTAACACACGACAGCGTCCCAGAACTGTCTCATTCCAACTCAACAACGCCAGCCAGCTCTCCATTCATACCACAGAGTGCAACACTGGTGTCGACGTCGAATCTGTTCACTTTCATCGAAGATCAGAGCCACTCGAAGAGAAACTGATCACCAATTGGACGCTGCTTCATCTCTTTCCACAATTGTCACCACGCACCCACTCTTCCTGCTTCAATTTTGCATTCACTGCTTCCTCACAACAGTGCTAATACGGTGTCAATCTTCGTCATTCCGGAGAAACACCTGTGTTATACCCAAAGCTACTACTGATACCCTCATTATTCCTTCTAATTGCACCAACTCAGCTGTTTCGTCTCCATACACCAAGGGTCAAACCTTTGTTACTTTCTTCGCTGCTGCCACGAGACATGTGACACTACGCAGGACAGTGCTCGTGACACCACAAATTGTCCTTTTAATTTAATGATTTAATTATAAATAGCCGTTTATATATATGGTAATGTATATATATATATAGACGACCGTTGCCGTAGTAACGCATCACTAAGGATCCTCCCCCTTTGTCGTCGTTCTGAAATTTACCCGCAGCACGTGACTCCTGCGCGTAAACCACATCACCATGCTTTCTGCTCAACACCCGGACACCACATATACACTCCTCCCTGTGAGACACACCGTTGTATGGTGAACTCCATCACTTCAATCGTCGCAAAACCTCCGGCAACAGCCACTCTGTGATAGAAAGCCATGAAGTTATCACACTGTGCTGTGCTGCTTTCGCTGTTAGTGCCTTCGTGGTGCTCTCCTGGCGATCAATTGGACGAATTCGAGGACTGTATACAGGCATGCGAATACACTCAGTGTGGAACCAAGGACATGGCATCGAACAGTGGATTCTTCAACTCCTATCCCTACGATTCGCTGAATCCACTGCTACGGCTGCTGCTGTGGGACTGTCCCTCTGACTGCGACTATCAGTGCCAGCAAATCGTCACCGAGTTGAGGCTCCGTGATGGTGAAGAGGTGCTGCAATTCCATGGGAAATGGCCGTTCAAGAGACTATTGGGCACTCAGGAGCTGGCCAGCGCACTGTTCTCCCTGGGGAACTTCATCCCACACTATCAGAACCTGTTCAAGTGCTACAGCTACTACCAAAACTCGTTTGGCTCCTTGAAGATTCTCTACTGGAACATCATCATCATAAGTGCCATCACTTCGTGTGCCTGGTTCTTCAGCACTATCTTCCACATTAGGGACTTGCTCATCACTGAAAGGCTCGACTACTTCTTTGCCGGTGCCACTGTGCTAGGTGGCTTCCATGGCCTGCTGATCCGTGTTTGTAGGCTCGACAGATTCGCAAAGAGACGGCATGCGGTGTCCATCATGTGCTGTCTTATGTACCTATATCACTTCCTAAGACTGAACTACGATTGGAGTTATACCTATAACATGAGGGCAAACATCACCGTGGCAGTGCTACAGTATGGCCTGCTGCTGAAGATGGGGTACGACCACTATAAGAGGGATCCAAAGGATCCATTGTGGATGAAACCTCTGATACTCATAGGAACTGTCGTGGCAGCGATGTCGTTTGAGGTGTTTGATTTCATAAACCTCACGTTCCAAGTGGATGCCCATGCTCTGTGGCATCTGTTCACCATCCCACCTGGGTTCTGGCTCTACGACTTCCTCTATGCAGACCTGGAAACGTTGAAGCTGGGCTACAAGGAGTGATGTGTATAGCTATGTATTATCATAATGTATAGATGGAGGAAAAACACACGTACACAGCGAACGATGCTTGTATAGCAATGCCCGAGGCTCTTCAGAGGTTCTTTAGAGTGTTCTCGTGTGCCACTGGCCCGTCCATTATATCTAGCTCTTCACGGGTAAAAAGCTTTGGAAACCACATCGTCAGTATGACACTCAGTAACAACACCAGAGGAAACCCAATGGATCCCTTTGTTTGAACGATTCCAACCTCAGCAGCTGTCCCCAGGAGGGAGAACATCACAAAGAGGTATAACTTCTTCTGAGGAACAAGGCTCAACGGGCTCGGATCAGCCTTGTCGTGTCGACAGATGAATCTGATCCTGTTGAAGATCTCATTCCCGTTCAAGCCAGTTGAGCCCATGATGAAGAACATCCCTGCCAGCACACACTGTGGGATATTGCCCAGACAGACCAGTAGAGGCCTCGTCATCGTGCCAAAGAGCATCAGGCCTTGGACGGTGTTGGTGAATCTCTGCTCCACGCAGCCAGTGACTCGTCCCTTCTTGTCTCTAACAAGACAAGACTCTGTATGAAGAGGAGCCTGAGGAATCAGGCCATTGGGACATGGTATGCCCAATAGCCCTGCGATGCCGGTAACGATACCCAACAGGAACAGGTCATAGTGGAAAGCACTTGGTTTCTTCAGCTTGTACTTCTCATCCTGTGCCATCAGGGCAGAGATTGAGTGGTCGAAGTAGAACAGTATGGCCAATATGATGCCAAAGGGCAAGGCCAGGAACACATCGTTCACTTTCAAGCCACTGACGTCGATCCAGTGCTCTCTGCCAGTTGGTCTGAAGGCCTTGGTGATTGGCAACTTGGCAAGCTCAACGTTGTTCAAGTACCCACCAAAATGGATGAACCCAGAGAAGAACACAACACAGCCTGGCGTGGTATAATCAACGATGAACTGTCTGACGTGCCTGTTGAAGTAGTTTGTCTCGTTGAAGGAGTTCCCTGCAAATCCCACAATTCCCATCGATATGGCAACCACCACGCTGGCAAAGCCACTAGCACCGCTATCCTGAGGAGTGAACTGCCGTGATAAGATCTCCACTCCCTTTATGAGGTAGACAATGTTGATGAACATTCCAAAGATATCGCATGGGAACTTGGTGACGTATTTCAGGGCAGAGACACTGTTTGTCATTGAGATGATGAAGTGGCAGATCATACCCCAGATCGAGATCCAGAACATGAAGGGGAAGAACGGGATATCCAGTGGCTTGATGATCTCGTACACCGTATAGTTGAAGATCGATATTGGCCCTGTTACACCAACAATGGTCAATGGCTGGCCAGAAAAGACACCAAACACCACGCCAGCAAGCGCACTTGCCAGCAGCACCTCGTTGACGCCATAGCTGTTGTCCGTGCGGTCAAACATGTCCTGTGCAAATGCAATGGCAGGGAAGATATTCGTGAAGTAAGTCAGTATAGTGGCAGGTATCACTCTGTAGTTCCAGGCGTCAGTCCAGTCCGACCGGTAGTAGGGCAACCGGTCCCTCACGTCAGCAATGATTCCCCGGCACAGTGGGAAGTGCCGTACCCTATGCCACACGGTTTTCCTCTCTAATTCATCACCTGTGACGGTGATGGCACTCTTCGAGGGCTCTGTCATCTTGAGCGTATGGGTCTTAATAGCAGTGATACTGAGGCCAAACAGCTGGCCAATCAACGAATCAAACAGGGGAGAAAAGAGCACAGGCAAATCAGCAATCGCACACCTTCGCACAGCACAAAGATCGCCACTGTGAGCCCACTGGGTGAGCTCCAACGGTGGAAGCAAAGCAATTGAAGCAATAAATTTGATGCAATTTGGTGCGCACGGGCTGCGATGCACGTTTCCATGGCAATCAGGCGAAACCGCAGTCTGAGGAAAAAGAAATTTTAGGCGCCCGGATCTTGGGTGGTGGTGTCCGGGTTAATATGTGATAATTATTATGATGGTTATAATGGCTGTGATAATTATATGGACATTAGATTAATTAATTAGATCATGGGTCTCTATGCGATATACACACACATGGGTATATATAAGCATGGTGTTCAGAGTCTCAAGCGAGCAAACACAGGGTGTGATTCAGTTCATCTTCAGGTAGTTCAGGTTGATGGTTGAGATGGAGGCCTTTGTATCTTCAACTTCCATTCGAACCTCGTCCAACGCTCTGAGCTCGTAATTGCCAAAGATAAAGCCAATGATCCCGTTGACTGTTCCCGTTATGCCTATCACTGTGGAGCTGAACACCCAAAATACAGAGGACCAACCTGCAACGTTGGATGTGAAGGTCGTTGCGACGTGGATGCCAACGACAATGGTTAGCGATAGAAGGAAATGTGCACATCTCCAATTCTTCTGCCATTGGGCGATTTTCTTATACGAGTCTATCAAGTCTAGCATCTCGTTGTAGTAAGCGACTCTGTTCACCGTCAACGAATTGGACCGGTGCAGTTGTCTATAGAAGTCTTTTCTGAGGATTTGTAGCGTGCACGAATAGCCAAAGTGATCCGAGTACGAGCCAAACCCTTCAACCTGCTCGGTAAACACGACTTTGGCGTCTATGGTCTTGGTCTTAGAGGCGTCAATCAACGCGTAGTCCAAACGGCAGGCCTCATCTGGCTGGCAATGTGATCTCCAAGTGTTTAAAAGCGAATCACACGTGGTGCCTCCGATTTCAACTTGTAAGCTTGGAGACAACGCTGCTATTCTCTTCAAGTCCTGTACACCGTTCAGCTGCTCCCAGCTATCGATTAAAGTCGTTTCCAAAGTGAGAAACTTGTGTGGTAGAGACCCAGGTCTTGAGTTCAAATCTCCCACGATGACAACGGCATACCCGGATCTCGATAGCAGATTGGACAACTTGGCAAAGTCCCAAGCTTGACACGATCTATGGCATTCATAGGCAGCATCCCCCGTCCGTGCGTACGGGGCATGCATGTGGGAGTTCAATATTGCTAGAGGATGGACGTTATCCTCCACGGGCTGTAGCAACGTCACAGCAACAGACTTACCGACAAACCAATCACCTCTCCAGAAAGCCGACGGCCTCCCGTTGATGGGGAATCTATAGAGGAAAGTCGACTCAATGGGTATCTTCGACAAAATAGCCAACCCAGGGCCTGAAACTACACCGGCACTGAACTTCCTCAGATAGGGGAAGAACTCCTTGCACATCTTCACAATGTACTCCCAGTCCTCCTCCACCCACACCTCCTGTAACGCCACAACATCGTACTTCTCGTGCTCATCAGCCAACCTATTGGCTATTGCTCTCAACCGCTCATTCCTGAACTTGGATATATACTTGAGTCCCCAGGTGTTTAGTGTCAAGAGCCTCACTGTTGGTGTAGACATCTCGGCTGTGGCTCCTTCCTCTTCTGTTGCCTCTTCGTCTGTGTATCAATGGAGAGTGTGCAATTGAGGTTGTTGTGTCAACTGCGAGAAGCTCTGTGTGTGTGAGAGTTGTTGTGGTGGTTTGCGCCTCTGTCGATGCGTTTGTTGATGCCTTTGTTTACGTCTTTCTGTGTTGAGCTTTGTGGTTTTGTTGGTGCCGGGGCGGCGGCTATTCCGTCCCGATATGTTTGGGTGTTTGGGTGTGTGTGTGTGTGGGTGTCCGGGTGTTCAGGTGTCCAGGTGTTGTTTGGAAAGCCTTTGTTTACATCAAAACAATCCACCTCTTCTCTGTCTTCAAAGCATCGGGCCTCAGCCTTCGAGCAGCAGGAAAACACGATGTCATTCGATCCAGAGATCCAGAGCAGAATAGAGCAGGTCAGCGAGAAGTTCAACGAGTTCATTTCGAGGCAGAAGAACGAAATCGTTCAGGCCAAGGAGGAGTACCTCCATACCGTGTCACAGTTGCAATCAGAGCATAAGGAGTTGATACTCAAGGTCAAGGAGTGTGAGGACAGGGAGAAGGAGCTGGGACACCAACTGTCCAAGGAGGCTGGGGATGTTCAAGGATCGCAATCTCGGATCACGGAGCTGAATTTAAGGCATCGACAACTACTTGAGGATAAGAGACAGTTGGAATCCCAGGTGGAAGAGCTCCAAGGTAAAGTTGTTTCGAAGAGAGAGGAGTTGAGCAAACTGAAACAGGCCAAGTCGAGGCAGAGCGATCTGGACTTGCCAGAGACACTGATATATGAGCAGCTGCTGGGCTTCAAGATTGAAGGGCTGAAGGATAACTTGCTGAGATTTGTCTTTGAGAATGTCAATTCACAGGATCCAAAGAGACAGTGTTCATTAGATCTAAACGTGTCAAACCATTTATACTCCATTGAAAGAGTGGAGCCGCAACTACCGAAGGACAAACTGGATGCTCTGTTGGACAGCTTCAACGAATCACGGGACCTGACGCAGTTCCTGAAGCACACGAGGCAGTGCTTCAAAGAGTCGACTCAACCATGATATGATATAATATACTATAATATACTATAATATACTATAATAATTATAATGCTTATGTAATGCTTATCTAAGCATCACGTCAGAACGCTTACGCTTCCCACTTGGGAAACCCCCGGCGCGGTTATGCGCGCTTGCCGCATTGAGAACTACATCATACCCAAAACGAAAACTTTTCCCTCTTCATCTCCATTTCAACAGACCAGTCACCGCTTATCAATTGCTTTATCGAGCAAACTGAAGAGAAACCAATGTCAACGTTTGAGCACATAGCCTCTGAGCCTGAGAACCCGTTTTCCAAGCTCGTCAACAAGCAAAGGATTGCCATTGTACCGGAGTTCGAACTGGAGTCAGGCTATCTTCTCACGAGGGTACCAGTGGCTTATAAGACCTGGGGTAAGCTGAACGAGAAAGGTGACAATTGTATGGTCATCTGCCATGCTCTGACAGGCTCGAGTGACGTTGCTGATTGGTGGGGCCCGCTACTGGGACCCGGACGAGCCTTTGACCCTACAAAGTTCTTCATTGTGTGCTTGAACTCGCTGGGATCACCTTATGGCTCAGCATCGCCGGTGACGCTGAACCCTGAAACCGGGGAGAGATGGGGGCCTGAGTTCCCACTGTGCACCGTCAGAGACGACGTGGCGATCCACAGGTTGATCCTGGACTCGCTTGGCGTGAAGCAGATCGCAGTGGTGATTGGTGGCTCCATGGGAGGCATGCTCACGCTGGAATGGGCATTCTACGGCGTGGACTACGTCAAGAACATCATCCCGCTGGCTACAAGTGCAAGACACTCTGCGTGGTGTATCAGCTGGGGTGAGGCTCAGAGACAGTGTATCTATTCTGACCCGAAGTACTTGGACGGATACTACGACTTGAACGACCCACCAGCCACAGGGCTAGGTGCTGCCAGAATGAGTGCTCTGCTGACATACCGTTCTAGAAATTCATTTGAACAAAGATTTGGTAGAAAGGATCCAAACCTGGTGAAGTCCATAAAGGCGAAGAACATTGCTCCTTCATCACCAAGCCACAGACAACCTTCGACGGCACAGGAGGAGCACTGGGCAATCCACAATGAGGGACATAAAAGAGGTCGTAAGTTGGCTGATGAGCCGGTAGGCTCGGAGACGAGTCAAGAGAGATCCAACTCTGTATCTTCAACATCCACAACAGCCTCGTCGAACTCAGTAACACACAGACACCAGACGTTCTTCTCGGCTCAGAGCTATTTGCGTTACCAAGGTGATAAGTTCATAAATAGATTTGATGCCAACTGCTACATCTCTATAACGAGAAAGCTGGACACACATGACATTGCAAGAGACAGGGACGGTGACCTGGAGAGCCTGCTGGGCTCGTTGAAACAGCAAGCATTGGTTGTAGGCATCAGCTCTGATGGGTTGTTCACGTATTCAGAACAAGAGACAATTGCACAGTTCATGCCCAACGCAGAGCTGGTGAAGATTGACTCGCCAGAGGGCCATGATGCCTTCCTGCTGGAGTTTGCTTCCATCAACCAAATGATCATGGACTTCCTCAACAGGGAATGTGCTGATATCGTCAATGCTCCTGGTATTCCATGGGAGGAGGAGCCGGTCACGGAGATCAAAGAGTCTGTCTTTGGTGAAGCTGAAGACGTTACAAACTGGTGAAGATAATCATAGCAATAAGTAATGGAAACAAATAAATCAATTGTTAAAAAAATAAGAAGTGAAAACAAATAAATCAATTATCAAAGAGAAGAAAAAGAGTGAAGAAAGCTCATAACACTAACCAGGAAGCATTGCCACTCAATGCAGAATCGGAACTTGCGCTTGCAGTCATCATACGGCTTAACAACTTTTCTGTCTCCATTTCTTCCTCGGCAGAGTCCTTATGTTCAACGGTAGCATTATTCGTAGGCCATGATTCACGTTTCTTCATGATCAACGCCTTGGCATATTCGACATCACGATAAATCACATTTATGGCATCCTGGACACCATTCTCTTTTCTAATACGTTCACCAATGGCCTTGGCTTTAGAAATCATCCTTTGATCAGTAGTTGCATCCTTTAGGGCCTTTGAAAGGGTCTTAACATTCAATTTACGAAGCCCAATACCAGCACCAATATCTTCAACTCTATTGGCATAGAAGAACTGATCTCCGAAAAATGGTTTGATAATGGTTGGTAATCCTGCACGAAGCGTGGCTCCAGTGGTTCCAGAACCCCCGTGGTGCACCGCAGCATCGATCTGTGGGAATAACCAATCGTGTGGTAAAGAGCCAGAGTTATAAATCTCATCTGGAAGGTCAACTTCGACACTTGAGCTCCCACCAAGTCTCTCAGACCAACCTTTGTTCAAGATACAACGGACGTCTGCCTTCACAACAGCATCAACAACGGACTGTGTTAATTCCTTTGGATTGGAGACAACAATGGATCCAAATCCAATATACACAAGCTTCTTGCCGTCATCCCTAGCCTTTTGCATAAAGTCAAGTAATGCTTTCGGAGGGTCATAGGTAACAGCTTCATCTAAAAACCAGTAACCAGTGACTTTAACCCAATCGTTGAAATCAACAGGTGGTGGTAAAACAGTTGGTGACACATTGTACATAAAGGGGATTTTGTTCTGTTCAAGAAGATCTAAATTAGTCTTGGGTAGTTTCAAAGTCTCCTGTCTCCACTTGTTTATTTGTCCACTAATACCTCTCCAAAAGACATTCTCAAAGAGAACATGGGTCAGGTAGTTATAACTTCCCCCTCTTTTTTCATCTGGAACGATAAATGCATGTGGATAAGCCCTGGTTCTTGTCCATGGCATAGTAAACGCTCTCATATATGGAATTCCCAATGCCTCCGCGATATGCACACCAGCCATTGCGGATGGTGATTCAATCAATAGTTCGGTTCCTTGACATGCCTCCCAACTAGTTTTCAACAACTCAGTGATCCATCCACGAAACTTACTGCTGGCTTCACGCATGAAACCAACATTCATAGAACCATGTGTCACCATCAAAGACATTAACTCGGTTGGATTTCCGGCGATTTCAACAAAGCGTAATCCATGTTTCTTGATCCAATCACCAAATTCTGCGTGTGTGGCAATTGTGACCTCATGTCCCTCAGCTTTCAAGCCAAGACCCAACGCTATATATGGTTGGACATCTCCTCTAGACCCAATGGTCATCAAAGTAATCTTGTGAGACTTTGTGGGCTTCAATTTAGTAGTCACGAGTGGATGATCTTCAATGATGATTGGAATGTGCAAGCCAGCCTCCGAATGAATCTTATCCTCGATGAACTTGATCTTTGATGCTTCCAATTTCTTACTCGAGCTTAATTGAGATTCACCTTGTTCAGCTTGAGAAGAGGAGTCACTTGGTGATGATTCTAGCTGTTTTAATAAAAGGTATTCACAATCATCACGGGCAGAGCTTGAACTGAACTCTAAAAACAGCTCCTCATGGCCTTGAATAACCACCACCAATCCAAAGTATCCAAACTTAAATCCTTTCTCCTTATAACAATTCTCAATATCAGAATACGGTAATATCATCTTTGTATGGAAACCTGGAACCAAACCTCTGTAACAAATTTCCTTTTCACCCAAGTAAACTTTACCGTACATCGGAATGTTTCTATGAAGATAACAATAATAAGTCGCAATAAGATGATCTGAATCCGCCAATGAAAAATGGTTTTGAAATCTTTTAGTCATTCTAACGGTCTCAGCATTAGTGGCGAGGAATTCGTCATCTTCAGAACCCCTTTCGAGTGAATTCTTTTCAGCATAGTGAACAATATTTGCGTTCCACATTGAAGAGGCAGATTTTATAAACTGTGGGGTCCATCTTGAGATTGTATTCCTGGCATGATTTACAGGCCTTAAAGGATTAAACCGGTGGTTCTTAGAAGATGCTGAAGCAACATCATCTGATATAGATTCGTCTGGTTCATCATCCGACAAAATATCGTCTGGGATCTCCTCGATGTTGTCATCATCCTGTTGCGATGCAGGAATAATTTGAGCAACAGTCTGTTCATTTGTAAACGAAGATGTTGATCTTGACAGTATTGGCATACTTGGGGAATTTGGAACTTCAGCCACGTTTTGTAAACTTCTAGAGGCTGGTGACCCTGGAGCAGAGAACTCGCCATTATGCGATCTAAAGACATGTTTCAAAGGGTTAAACGAACGTGTCTTCTGTTGGACATCAAGCTTAACAGTACTATCTGATAATAATGCGGGAGTTGCTCCCTCTTCCGTCTGTTTAACCTCGTCAGCTGCATGTGTTATGGCCTTAAAAGCCTCGGGACCAGATTTGAAAAACATAAAGAAGTAGTCGTCATAGGCAAAACTTTGGCCACTTTCCAAGACATGAAGCCTAATTGTTTCTGCAGGTTCAAAGATTGGAGTTTCCTCTGCATCGATAATGTTCTGCAACGGGATCTTCACAGTGACGCAGTCACCGTTGTTCCTGATTGTAAATATCTGTTTCTTCAGCCTTCCTACCCAGGATCTTGCATTATTTGGTGAGTCTGCTTGGAATTTATACGTCCTTGTTTCTGTTATGACTTTAAACCAGCTCGTATCCTTCTCTGCTGCATCTGGTGGGGCTTTGGAATCGGGGATGATTTGAGCTTTAATAGCATTTCTCAAATCTATTGTCAACGAAGGAAAGTACAAATCGGTTGATTTTGGATAGAATGTCAAAGTATGATTCTTCAAGACAGCCCAATACCGTGACAACCTTGAGGGCAGTGTCTCCATTGCCAAGCTTCCCGATAAGGTACTTCTCTCTAATGATGTCTTTGGTAAAATTGCTAAGAATAAGAGATACGACTTGGTCAAGTAGATATGTCCCTGAAGCAATACATCCTTCAGAAGCCAACACGAGTACTCATCGATAAACGTATCGTCTTCCTTCACATCGAATTTCTCCGCTAGTTTTTGACATATTGTAACTGCCCTGCTCTTCAGATCCTCTGTCGACCCTTTCAAAGAGAGTTTTCTCTCCATAGACAGCTCAAAGATAGAACCTTGAATAGGGGGTACAGACTCAGCAGATAACTGAGAATCCGTTGCACTCTCCTTATCTGTCTCATCGGTCTGAGACTGCGAGTGCTCACCCGGTTCATGGTCAAGCGGCTCATGGCCATCGTCATGCTCAATGGTGTTCTCTCTCAACGCCATCAAATCCTCTGTAGCGAGATCTGTAACGTTACCGCTGTACATAGAGGCAGTTGTCAATATCGAAACAAAGCTCTTTGCCATCTGTGCCGGCCTGGCATAGTCATCGTAGGAGGAGTCACTGGTACTATCACTCAGCCGCCGTGGAGCAATCCTCTTTGATATCGACCTGGCCAGCGGTGTTGCTCCTCTAACCACCAAACCAGCAGCAGAACCGCCCGCTGAGATCCCTGCCGACGCTATTGGAGACAGCGTTCGGCGTAGCGGATCATGGACGCTCTTCCGCAAGGATCTCTGTGAGCCTCTCTCCTCTCGTGAAGCAGTTTGCTTTGTCTCCATGCTTTCCGTTCGCCAAAACGATGTCCTTTAATGGGGAAACAAAGGATCAAGCAATAACTCGTAGTAAAGGGGGGGCCAGAGGGAGCAAACCTAACAAATCAGCCTAATTATCTCAAACAAGTTCTCTAATTAAATAGTCAGCGTCTGTAAAACCCTTGAAATATTTTAACCGCCGCACTCACCCTTGTTGTTCTCGTCCTTTTATTTTTTGTTATGTTTTGCTTTTATCCATGTGTACGCCCACAAGGGTTTTGTAGGTTTCAACTTTGGTGATGGAAAATTACAGCGGAGATGACACAGACCGAAACAGATTGCGTTTTTTGCTTTTGTGGCAGACGGGGGGGGGGGAAGTAGGCAGCGGTTAAGGTTTCCACAGTAACGGAATATGTTTAAGGCGTGGTTTATCCGCCTTGTTCTCCCCCTCCCGGCGCTGGCGAGAGATAACAACGGGGTGACATCATTCAAGATTAATAGTGGTGTTTGGATGTTATGTGACACAGATTTGTGTGTTTTTCCGTTTTAAGGCATATCTTTGGATATTGGTTGTCATGGTTATAACACTCCACTCATAGGCTTTACGCGTATATATACAACAATGAAGCTCATTACAAGTGGTCCAATGCCTTTAATAAAACAAAACTCAGCTTAAAATCATATATAAAAATGTAAAAAAAAGAAGAAAAGATCTAACAAAACTCACTTGGTCTTAGAGATATCATCGGAAGTGCTATCCAAGGCATCGTCGATGTTGCCAATGGCGTCAAGGTGCTCCTCGTGGATAGCAGCACTGATCTGACTCTGAACAACGTGCAGCTCCTCAGGATGCTCTTCTTGCCATTCTCTCAACTTGTGAGTCTGACCAGAGAGATCCCAGTAGATACCTCTACAGGTTGTGTAGATACCGTGTCTACCTTGCCACAATGGGAAGATACAGACGAGGAACGCAGTGTAGAACATCCAGATGATCCAAACAACGACCCAACCTGTGAAGAATCTCTTGGAGAAGATGTAGCCTGTACCGAACATTGGCATTGGTAACAAGATGATGAAGATGAGGAACAACGCAATGGTCAAATAACCACCAATCTTTGAGGCCCTCTTCAGCTCAGCTTGTTCCTTGGCCAATAATTCTGCCTTATGTTCCATACCCATTCTGTGACCGATCGTGGCAACGGATTGCACTGGAGCCAAGTTCTTCTCCGTGTCACCCTCTTCTGGTAACTCACCTTCAGCTTCCATGATCTCTTCAGTCTCATCAACCCTGTAGATGGTGTGTTTCAAAGTCTCGAAATCAAATGGCTCCTCTGGGAATAAGTAGACAAAGAATGGAATAACAAGAGCTGGTGTGCAAAGCGCAAGCAAGTTACCTGTAAGCATGACATTATCTTCAAACAGGTTGTCATAGTTGACTTCACCGTAGAGACCCTTTGCAGCACCAATCCAACCACAGATGGCAACAATGGAACCAAAGATTGGAGAAACAGTGACAGCCAATAGGTTCATTCTGGACCAGAACAATGAAAGGGTAGCTGGCACCACAGCAGAGGCAATGATGACACCCATAAAGTTATAGAGCCAACCAAGAGAAACATCAGACTCGTACAATCCGATACCAAAACCACACATGGCAAGTGTAAAGAGACAAACAGAAGCGTAGTTGGCCCACATCAGCTGCTTGCCGGAAGCTGTTGGGTTGAAATACGATCTGTAGATATCGTAAGTAAAGATAGAGGAGACGGAAATGACCTCAGCAGACATGGCAGATGTAAAGGCCATAAAGACAAGCAGCAGGGAAGCCACAGCACCACCTTTACCGAGCAAAGTGTACGCTGTAGCTGGCAAAACAAGACCAGCGTTAACTTGGTCAGCAGACAAACCTGGGTAGTATGGGAACTCTGGGTTGGACTCCAAAGCTCTACAAGCCAACCCCATGGTGGTGGAGACAAGGACTGGGATTGCAATCCATGCCAAACCACCGAGAACGTAACCTGGTAGAGCAGAGGCTGGAGAAGCGGAGATGGCCTTTTGCCAGTAACCGTTATCCATGAAAACAGCGGCAAAGTTACCACACAGGTTAATCACCAAGAAGATACCACCGTTGTGCGACTGGAACGTCAAATACGAGCCCTCGTGGTTTCTTGGAACCGGGTTTGTCTGTTGTAGCTCTGTCAGCTTGTCCCAAACGATGCCTGGCGAGCCCAGCAAGCTGTTTGTCGCAAACACCTCAAAGGCAAACAGCAAAAGAATGACAATGATCACAATGGTATGGATATAGTCAGTAAGGAACACAGACTTGATACCACCGTAGATAATATACGCAACGACACCTAGCGGCAAAAGAAAGATCGCAGCGATGGTATCCATTCCAGTGAGGAAGTTGATGGTTGCGGAGGCACCGGTCAAAAGCATCGCGGTAACCAGGATGTTTGTGGCCATTCCATAGTAGATGTACACACAGTGGCCTATCGTACCGTATCTTCCTTTGATGATCTCCAAGAAGGTGTGGGCCTCTGGCGCAATCTGCTTGGCCTTGGTTGCCAGCGTTGCAAACAGGATAACCTGCACACAGGCACCGGCACCGTACCAGTAACCACCGGAGACACCGTTCTTGTACGCCTGCGTGGTGGAGGTGAGCAGCGTAGCTGCCCAAGTCCAGGAGGACACCACCGCGGCTGCGATCAAAGAAGTCTTCACGGAACGACCAGCGGTAGCAAACTCCTCAGCGGTCATGATCTCCTTCTGGTAACGCTTCAGCATCTTGGTGATGGAGATCATACCGATGGAGAACACGGCGCCGAGCCCAATAACCATACCGTAACCGGCGCCCTGTGGCAGCGGGTTACCTTCAAGAACCATTGTTTAATCTATACCGAGTCTTTGTGCTATAGATTGCTAATGACTACAAACAGAACACCATGGCTGGAGTCGCAAGAGGTGGCATGTGCCGTCTATATATGTGTTCCAGGGTTCCTACGTGAGGTTATCACCGTCGACTTATCATCAACGGTTGCACGAGTGGTGATGCTCGTTCGCACCTTTGATGCAGGCAGATAGCCAGATAACAAATCTGGCGGAATACGGTTGGATGTGTGAGCTCCAATCTCATTGTCCTTACACCAAATCCGTACGCTGGGGGGAGCTGGGACCGTATGACATATGATCACAGGCATGTGCATAGCCCATACATCCCCGTTCCACGGTGGAAGGCCGTCAAGAGCAGAACAAGGTTGTGGGCTCAGCAGCAGCCCTAACATTCTGCTCAAGATGTGAGACTGTGCGTGTGTGCCGTGAGGCCAAAGTCTGTCTCAGCTGCAGATGTGCTCAAGTGCTGGTTCGCCGATCAGACCCGTGGACGAACCAAGTTATAGGCTGCTAGGTCCTGATGGACGCTTCAAAGTGCCTTGCCTGGGTAATGATGAGAGGTCGGTTGGGGCGTGCGTGCGCCACTTGTGCGGTCCGATTGCTTCCTCTCCACATTATGGGGGTTGTAGTACCGAGGCCCCTGTGGAATTTCATTGGCCCGTTGCGGCGTAGTGAGATAAGGCTGGTGTAAGCGTCCAGTAACGTGGTGCGAAAGATCCCAATAGGCGCTTAAGCGCTGGAATCCGGCGAACAAGAAACGATCAGCCAATGCTTCCACGAGCCAATTGGAACGTATGACATGACACACACACACACAGACGGTGTGTGTGCGTGTGACATGCCCAGATGGAGCTAAATGGTTGGAGTTGTTGCTTCTTTGTTAGTCGTGCGCGAGAGGCTGTCCTTTACAGTGGAGGACTGACGGTTTAGGCACAGGAGCCCACCAGAATGTACCGGTGAGCACAAGTGTCGTCCTCCCATAGAATGACCCTGTTCTATTGGCCTCCTACACGTTGATATCGACGCTGGCGAAAACGACTGGTTCGATCCAATCATCGTGCCATTTGCGGTGTATGCTCATCACTACCCCTCTGTGCTTGTAGGCTGCCAATGCTGGCAGCAGATAACGGATGTGACCAGATAAAGCATCCACGCGTCTTGGGAGCTCTTGGGAGCTCTCCCAGCTTCTTGTGAGAAACACACAGAGAAACGGTTTACGCCATCTGTGCTCCATCCAAAAAAGTGGTGATGATCCGAGGTGGAGCTTCCAATCACTTCAGCCTACGGTATTATACATTATGTAGGTACCCTGGCGAGGATATCGTCGCCAGGCCTCAGTGGCCACACGGTTGCTTACATCTCTGCAGCATACACAGTGTTCGATACTACAGAAGTTCAGTGTCCTAAGCCCGAAATGCACTACTGGATCACTTCTCGTGACACTTTCACAGCTGTCTGCTGCCCATTTCCCGTTCTGTTGATGTTGGAAGCTTTGGAAGCTCTTGCTACACGGCGATTATTGAGAGGAAACTGATAAGGCGCACGTGAACTGCGCAAAATTTTTTTCGCCTTTTCTTTTCTCCTGTGATCAAAACCTTGTCTGTGCGGCTATCACAGGTTTCAGACAAAAAGAAACGAAAAAACGCGATGATGTCCCAGATAGGCAATTGCGCAATACGGAATTGCGGTGATCACGATCATGTGATCTTATCCTCGGATTTCCTTCTTTTTTATTGACACGGGCGATGAGTGGCAGAGCAAATTTTTTTTTTCACGCTTCTTCTGCTCTCTGTTGGATGAGACATAGATGGCTGTTGGAAGGATCGAGAGAGTAGCGCAATGCCTGAGGAGACCCCTGTCGTGGAGAGAAAGCTCAGTAAGAACGAGCTCCAGAAGCTGCAGAGCGAATCCTATGCTAAACGTCAGGCGTACAGAGAGAAGCAGGAGGCCACGAGAAAGTCTCTGAAGCACGTGAGAATCGAGGAATCGGACGTACAGAGCGATGTTGAGCTTCCTAGAAAGAGATTCTACAGACAGAGAGCACACTCGAACCCCTTCAGTGACCATCAGTTGGAGTACCCACGCTCGCCAGACGACATGGACTGGTCGAGACTGTACCCGTACTACCACGATGAGGCCACTGGGGAGATGACCAAGAGGGTTGAGATTGCCGATATTGGATGCGGATTCGGTGGGTTGATGGTTGATCTGTCGCCAGAGTTCAAGGACAAGCTGATCTTGGGTATGGAGATCCGTGTGCAAGTGACACACTACGTGGAGGACCGTATCATTGCACTGAGACAGAAACATCTCGACACCAACGGCTACCAGAATATCAACGTCTTGAGAGGAAACGCCATGAAGTTCTTGCCGAACTTCTTCCACCAATCCCAGCTGGAGAAGATGTTCTTCTGCTTCCCAGACCCTCATTTCAAGCAGAGAAAACATAAGGCTAGAATCATCACAAACACTTTGCTTTCGGAGTATGCGTTTGTCTTGAAAGAAGGTGGTATAATATACACCATCACAGACGTTCTGGATTTGCACAATTGGATGGTTAAACATCTGGATGAGCATCCACTGTTTGAAAGATGTGGCGAGGAATGGGAAGCCAACGATAAATGTGTTGAGATCATGACAAATGCCACTGAAGAAGGCCAAAAGGTTACGAGAAATAAAGGTAGCAAGTACGTCAAATGCTACAGAAGACTTCCGAATCCAAAGAGTTTATGAAAACATATACAAAATATATATCAAGTCTAATTCAATGAGCAGAGTTTGAAGATTCCTGGTCACTCGTCAATGCTTGGTCCTCTTCATCACCAGCAGTGGAATCCTGCTTGGATTTTTTGTTCAACACTTTACCAACAATGCTACTAACTGTAGCACTGCCACGTCTCAACGATGTAGTTATCGAGTTTTGATCACTGTTCTTATATTTGGCAATCTCCTCTAGCCCTGGTGGCTCAACACTGAACTGTGACGAGCTATGGCCCTGTTGGAAGGAGTTTAGCTGCTGACGGAACGACGTCTCAGACTTTTGTCTCGCTAGCGATGGTCCCAATGGTGGTGGTAGCTGTGATGATGTATCGTAAACCGTGTTAGGTTGAACCAGAGCCTGTTGTCTTGCAACAGCTGCCCCGGAAAGGTATCTATCGTCACTTGAATGCTGTGCCTCGGTGTCCACTGGCTGGTAGTTTGTTGACCCATGGAACGAAAAGGTTGACGATCTATCGTCAAAGATCGAATCCATGTCTTCCAGGCTCACACCAGCAGTCTCTGGGTAGAACAGGTAAACGACAAAGAACGACACGAAACAGGAAGTTGAGTGTATCAAGTACAATCTCCACGTGATCAATTCTTGTAATATCGGTGTCATTTCACCAACAAGCCAGTTGAATGCCCAATTCGACGCAGTTGAAAGCGATGCCACTTTGGAACGGATGCTCAGAGGAGCAATCTCTGGAGGATATAACCATGGAATTGGGCCAAACGAGTACCCAAACCCTGCGTTGAAGATGATAACCAGGATGACAACGGCGTGTCTAGTGGTTTCAGTGTTGACGTACATTGCGTATGAGATGAAGGTCAACGCCAATCCCATAACGATGGCACCACTCAACAGGATTGGTCTTCTCCCCCATTTATCAACGAGGATCCATGGTGGGATAGTGCTGAGCACATAGATGACCGAGTTATACCCGGTCATTAACAGGGCATCACGTCCAACCCATCCAGCCTGCTCGAACACCAGAGGCGCATAGTATGAGATCACATTGATACCGTTCAGCTGTGCGAATGCCTGTGAGGACATGGCAATTATAACCCGTCTCTTGTACCGTTTGAACATATATCTATAAGAGCTTTCACCTTCCAATCTATGGAGCAGCACGGCCTCTTTGATTTCACGGTACTCGGCTCTGGCCCTCTCATCTTGCACATCACCACCTGTGGTTAGATCTGCAATCACCACGATGCCCTCGGCATCGTGGTCATGGTTTAACAGCCATCTTGGAGACTCAACAATGACGAAGGACCCGAGATACAGTGCGATCGCAATCCAGCACTGGATCGACAGTGGTATTCTCCATGACATGTTGCCCTCTATGAAGGAGCAGAAGTAATCTGCCCACACGGATGAGGCATAGCCGACAATGTTCCCCGTGAACTCAACGCATGCCAATCGACCACGGTGCTTGCTTGGACTGATTTCACTCTGATAGACAGGCACCACCGTGGTCAGCAGACCAACTCCCAGTCCTGAGATGAACCGTGCCACGGTCAGCACGATGAAATTTGGCGTCAGAGCCTGGATAGCTCCACCAATTGCAAAGATGAACGACCCGTACCGTATGCTTCTCCGTCTACCAATCTTCTCGCTGATCTTACCAGCGAGCAAGGACGATATCAACGCTCCAACCTCCAAAATCGCAACCATCGTTCCAATCGCAGCGCTGGAAGGGTTTGCAAAGTAATCCTTGAAGTGTTCATTGGTCAGCAGACCAGACATAACACCTTGTTCGAACCCAAAGAGCAACACACCTGTCGAGACGAAGACAGTGGTGAAGTACAGCAAGGGCTTACCAACAAGCAGGGAATCGTTCACGACGAGGTCTTGGTAGTCGTTGTCTGACATGCTGGGCTTCACGGGTGGTCCAGGGTATCTCCAATTGACCTTGTTAGTGCGTTTCTATCAACAAAACAGGGCTAGGTTACGTGTATATGGTGAAGATAAAAGGCTTGTGCGGTGTTGAAATCCCCTTGAACCGTGTTTCTGCGGCGTGACGTCATTGCTCATGTCGGGACACCTAGTCATCCGGACACCTAGTCATCCGGACACCTAATCACCTGGACACCACCTTGACAAAATGGCCAAAGGGGACAAAACAGCCACACACCGCGAAAATGTCCCAAAACCCCCCACCCCACCAGCAACTTCAACACTCTTCGTTCCCACTCCCCTTCCTCTCGTACACAATTCTCACAATCAAAACACCAAAATGGACGAAGAATACGACGTGATCGTGCTTGGTATGTGCCTGTCTCACTCACGTGTGCAAGCTTGAGCTGCTACTAACAACCAATTGGCGCTGTAGGAACTGGTGAGTGCTCGTTTGGCGTTGCCGTTTATGTCCGGCCCTATATCGATGGCTACTAATCAGTTCAACGTAGGCTTGACGGAGTGTGTGCTCTCTGGGTTGCTCTCTGTTGAAGGAAAGAAGGTGCTTCACATCGACCGTCAGGACTACTACGGTGGCGAGTCGGCGTCGTTGAACCTACAGCAGCTGTACGAGAAGTTCAAGCCTGGCAAGGAGGTTGATGCCTCGTTGGGACGGAGCCGTGATTACTGTGTTGATCTCATCCCCAAGTTCTTGATGGCCAACGGAGAGTTGACCAACATCCTTGTGCACACGAACGTGACGAGATACGTGGAGTTCAAGCAGATTGACGGGTCGTTTGTGTTCCGGTACGGGAAGCCGTCCAAGGTGCCGGCAACGGAGTACGAGGCCGTGACGAGCTCTCTCATCGGCTTGTTCGAGAAGAGACGCTTGAAGAACTTCCTCCAGTGGGTTGCAAACTACAAGGAGGATGACGTGGCCACGCACAAGGGCTTGAAGTTGGATATTGACACCACGGACGCGGTTTACAACAAGTTTGGGCTCGAAGAGGGCACCAAGAACTTCATTGGCCATGCCATGGCACTCTACGATAACGACGAGTACCTCCAGCAGCCTGCTCGTGAGGCAGTGGAGAGAGTGGTGCTCTACTGCCAGTCCGTGGCACGCTACGGCAAGTCTCCTTACCTCTATCCGTTGTACGGGTTGGGCGAGCTACCTCAGGGCTTCAGTCGTTTGAGTGCCATCTATGGTGGTACCTTCATGCTCAGCACCAAGGTTGAGCAGGTGTTGTACGACGAAGCAGGCGTGTTCCAGGGTGTCAAGCTATCGCTCGATGGCGAAGAGCACGTTGTCAAGGCCCCACAGGTGATTGCAGACCCAACATACTTCCCTGAGAAGGTGTCCAGCAGCGAGAAGGTGATTAGAACCATCTCAATAGTGGATCAGTTGCCTCTAAAGAATGGAGAAACCTCTGCTCAGATCATCTTGACCGGTAAGGAGACTGGTAGAAAGAACGACATCTACATCGCACTCATCGGCTCAGAGCATAAGGTTGCACCACAGGGGAAGAACATTGCGATTGTTTCATCCATCATAGAAGGTGACAAGCCTCCTCACATCCAATTGGAATCAGCCTTCAAGCTCTTGGGTATAAAGGCATTCGACCGTACCTTTATGGGCCTCTCCGACTTGTTTGCTCCAATTGAAGACGGCTCAAAGGACAACGTTTACATCTCAAAGTCGTACGATGCAACTTCACATTTCGAGTCTGTCACTGAAGACGTCAAGGACATCTACTTCAGAGTCACAGGCAAACCATTGAAGTTGACCAAACTAGAAGAAGGTGAGTTCAACGCTCAGGCCTGAGCTCCCTTTCGTGCTACACAGCTGTTCTCGAGTTGAATAAATCAATTACATTGCTTAAATTCTCATTCTCACAGCCTTCACGTTGGTGTAGTTATCCAATGCCTCTGTTCCCATCTCTCTGCCAATACCGGACTGCTTGAAGCCTCCGAACGGAGTCTGTGGGTCAAAATCGTTATAAGTGTTGACCCAGACGGTACCAGCCTCCAGTCTGTTGGAAGCCTCAATCGCAGTGGACAGAGATGTTGTGTGGATACCAGCAGCCAGTCCATACTCGGAGTCGTTGGCCTTGTCGACAATCTCGTCCAAGGTCTTGAACTTGGAAATGGTGATGACAGGCCCAAAGATCTCCTCCTTGACGATGGTGAAATCCTCCTTGACATCTGCAAAGATGGTTGGCTTGACAAAGTAGCCCTTGTTACCCAGTCTTTCACCACCAGTGATGACACGGGCACCTTCCTCCTTGCCCTTCTTCACGTAGGACAAGATCTTGTCCAACTGCTGCTGGGAGGTTTGTGCACCTTGGAATGTTGCATCGTCGAATGGATCACCAACTTTGATGGCCTCTGCTGCAGTCTTGAAGGCCTCCAACACCTCATCGTAGATTCCCTCTTGCACGTACAATCTTGAGCCTGCACAGCAAACTTCACCGGAGTTGTAGAAGATACCAACGAGCAAGTTTTGCACAGTCTGCTCAACGTTTGCATCGTCAAAGATGATGTTTGGAGACTTACCACCCAGCTCCAAGGTCACCTTCTTCAGGTTGGAATGAGCAGCAGCAGCCAGGATATGACGGCCTGTGGCAGTGGAGCCGGTGAAGGCAACCTTCTTGATCTTCATGTGTGTGGAGATGGCCTCGCCGACAATCTTACCAAATCCAGACACAATGTTCAGCACACCTGGGGGGATGCCGGCCTCAGCAACGAACTTGGAAACGTACAAGGCAGACAATGGGGTTGATTCCGCAGTCTTCAGAACAACGGTGTTACCGGTAGCCAGCGCAGGCCCAACCTTCCATGACCACATCAACAATGGGAAGTTCCAAGGGATGATTTGGCCAACCACGCCAATTGGCTCTCTCTTGGTATAAGTGAAGTGCTCACTGTCGGTCTCAATAACACGGCCATCGACCTTATCAGCCCAGCCAGCAACAGATCTCAGGTAAGCCACTGCCAGAGCAACATCACCACGGGCATGCTGGATAGCCTTACCGTTATCGAGCGACTCGATGGAGGCCACGGTCTCGGCGTCGGCCTCGATCAGGTCCGCCAGCTTGTTCAAGGCCCTCATTCTAACCTGCGGATGAGCCCTTGACCACACGCCTGATTTGAAAGCCTTCTCCGCTGCATCCACGGCGATGTTAACGTCATCTTCACGGCCCTCGTAAACGTGGCAAACCTCCTCTTCTGTGGACGGGTTGATCACCTCAAAGGTCTTTGATTGTCTCGAGGGGACAAACTCGTTGTTGATGAACAGCCCGGTTGGCTGTTCATAAGTCTTGCCGTTTGGCAAGGTGATCTTCGTGGCCAGCGGCAAGTGTGAGTGGTTTCTCACTGAAGCGGCAACGCTTGACTTCAGGGCCACAGGCATTCTTCTGATTCCTGCTTGTTTGAACATCTTTTATCGGTGGTGGTGTTAGTTTTTGGTGAAGAGCAGCTGCTTTTATACTTGGTGGATGGGATGAACAACAGCTACAACTATGGTGATACCAATGACAAGAAGCTGAGCATCACAGGAAACAGGTGGACTCCGTTGTCCCCTTTTATAGTTTGTCTCAACAAATGTTTTTTGCCGCTGCGTAGTTGTGATCATGATCGGTGTACGCATGTCCCAGTTTACAATGTGGGGAATTGCATAGCACACGGATACCGCATTTTTTTGTCTCGCTTTCTGGATGATCTCGACATTACGGTGACGCTTCTTAGAAGTGTCAATTGATATTACGTTCGGTCGTGAGTATGTGTTCAACGTGATCATGTTCACGTCTTTCATGCTCAGTCCCTTGGTGCTCAATTCCTTAATGCACACAACTCGTTAACGCACCATGGCTCACTTAGTCGCACTGCTTTGAAACTGTAACGGAAGCACAGCTGTGAAGGTTAGTCACCACGTCTCAAGCCTGTTTGAGAAAAAAAAACGTGTGTGGAAAGAATTATCTCAACTTGCTCCTAACGGAACTCCGATTTGGGTGGGACTCTAAAGGCCATTGTGGGGCTGTTGTGGGAGGAGAAGGGAAGATACGGGTGTAAGTTGTTGCAGGAAACACACACACACGCACCAAACAGAGGTGGAGGGCTACGACTTGTGTCGTGTTTTTTACATCTGGTAATCGAAACTCAACAAAAATGTGTAGCACTAATTGAGAACTGGGATCGGATTCCTCTTTTGTAGTCATTAAGTGGTTTGCGACCACCCACCTCCGTGGTCTCTCCCGTTTGTCATGACTAACCTGGACAAAAAGAGGAGACTAACACGATCAAGGTGGCCACCTCATGCATGAAAATCGCAGAGACAGAGAAGGTGACACAAAAGGTTGTTAGGGGAACAGAGGTTTTCAGCGTCCGCGACATGATTATGTAATGTGAGGATTATGATATGTTACGCCTGTATCAAGGATTACACTTTTGGATAATCTCGTTTGAATCATTCAATAGACCTGTGGACATCAGTAATGATATATAGTGCTCAGAGTCCCAGCTTCCCTGGTTGTCAGTGTGAGCTCATCAAGATGTGTCAATCAGCTCCTTGTTTGGAGTGACGTTGCAGAGTTTCACCAGGAGTGGGCTTGTTCGTAGGTTACGATTGTTTATCAGCCAATTGAGCTGGTTCTGCTAGTTGGAATTTGTTCACAATGTTCATCAGTTAGTCGACTTTGAGCTACCAATGTCGCCAAATAGGAAGTGTTTTCGCCTACAATGTTCACCTCCAGGGCTCTTGCCTTGTTCTTGCTAAACCGTATATTTTTACCCTTCCCATGAGAAAGATTAACTAAAGTTCATGTGGCATTAGTATTAAAATGTGGGTGTAACCAGTATGTATCAGTGAATTGATATTAACTGCTGTCACAAGACCGTACCTGTGTGCAGTAACTTCGCTTATCCTTGTTGTTATATGTATCTACCACCTGTTGTATGTTCATGCTGGTATAGTCTCATTTTTGAGCTTCTACTACCATTTGTCTTTCATCAGAATCTTCAACATTACTGTTCGTAGCAGAGCCTCCAAAACCTTCATCTACAGATCAACTATAGGCCCAGCATCATGATGACAAGAATTGATTTATGAATTATGTGAAACTCGAGTTTCCACTCATTGTAGTTGCCATCAACATTCTTCTCGCAGAGTCCTACGCTCAACATTGGAAAATCACTGGAAATCATAGATTTAAGTAAATCGTAAAAGTCAAAGTCATTATTATTATTATTATCCTTACTAGGTACAAGCAGAGTCTGGTGTGCCAGCTCGTGTCTCTTTTCAGGGATTGCTATCCCCTGGATATACCTTAACAATCTCCTTTCTCCAGAAACCATCCTCACCAACAACTTCGGTGGATTCTAAAGAGTAACCACCGATACGTGGTAGTATAACAGCTTTCACCAGCCACCACAGAGCACCAATGCCAAAGATCGCCCAAGTTGCAACACAGTGAGCCCAGTATGGGATATCATTGTAAACCATGTGCTTTTGGTCGTCATTTGGTGGAACATAAGGTGCAACAATCAGGTACAATGTCGCCAGTGCAAAGAAGATGATAACTGGCAATGGAGCCTTGATTGGTGCCCTCCAGTCAACCTTGCCTCTATATGATTCAATGTGAAGATATAGTAGTCCAAGTGCAACTGCAAGATTAACCACATTTAACGGGTACGAGATCAAGTTCAGAATGAAGTTATAAGCATCACCTGGTGGTGGAGCAATGATAGTAATCACACAAACAACCCAGTGTTGTAGGAGACCAACAAACGGAGTGTGGAAAGGTCTAGAGCTTGCAAAGAACTTGGAAAATGGCAAGACACCTTCACGTCCTAAGGCTTGAATGATACGACCTTGCGAGAAGATGACAGAAAGGACATTACCCAATGCAGACAATGCAATAAAGACAGACGACGCCTTCTTAGCTGTATTACCAAACGCAATGTCAAAGAAGTCTGCAGCCAAAATAGTTGAAGAGTGCATCAGCTGCTCCTTTGGAACAATGGCAAAGTATGCAATATTAACAAAGAAGTAGATGATTGCAAGACAAACCAGAGCAGCTGGAGCAGCGTATTTCAGAGTCTTGACTGGGTTTTTAACTTCACCAAGGGCATAGTTTGCATTTGAATAACCGACAAACGACCAGATGATGTTATACAAGGCATTGACAACACCATATGCGGTAGCTCCTGATGTGCCTTCGAAGGAATGGGAAAAGTTGTCAGTCTTTTTCCAACCACCAAGGGCAACCCACCCTGTAACGACGATGAACAAGACAACACCAATCTTAAAGATACCGAGAGTGTTTTGTAAATAGGCACCAGTCTTCACGTGCAGTCCGTTGATGAGAAACGCAAATGAAACAGCAGCAATACCGATACCACGCTCGCTCCATCTTGTAGGTTCTTTACCTGCGGCAATGAGGATATACTGGCCAAAGATGATGGAGTTACCCGATGCCCAACCCAGGAAGAAGATATAGGAGGCGTACATTGATGTGATGAGGAACTTCGGCTTCTTATAGACATACTCCAGATAGTTCTTTTCACCACCGTTACGTGGAATTGCAGAGCCAAACTCCATGTACACGTACAACCCAGCCAATGCGATTAACGAACCGACAACCCATAGGATTAGCGACAGTCCGATGGACCCATTGCACAGCAGCACAATTGTTGAAGGCGTGGCAAAGATACCAGTACCGATGATTCTGTTCACTATGAGGGCAGTGGCACTGATGTAGCCCAGGTTCTTAGTCCCCTTGTCCTCCTCCTTCGTGACAAAGATAGCCTCTTCCTCCACGCTATCCGCAGAGCTTCCTGTTTTCACTATTTGTTCCTTCAAAGACTCATCAGCCATTGTAAAGTGCTGTCGGTGGTAGATTTGAGATTCAGAGCTCGAGGATGCCATCATTGTTCACAAGTTTCGGGATGCAACCTTCCTCTATATATAATGCCAGCGTGGACAACGCCAGAGATGTGATGATAATACGAGAGTTAGATCCACAGTATGCACGTATTGTCACTCTGTACAAGAACAACCACAGTTTCGACGTGTGTATTTGCCAATTGTGTATGTGTGTAGTTTGTTTGTCCTGTGGCCGGGGATCCTATGAACAAGCTATAACGAGCTTGGTATTAAATGGCAACATCAACAAAGCCAAACAGAGAAAATTTTTCCTCCATGTGCAACAGGTGTCATGGTTAAGCCTAAGGCACACTGAAGAACACTTCATAAAAGCCACAGTTTAGCACCATAAGATGTAAAGATTTGTCTTTATTATAAATCCTATCGGCCAAAAGAGAGCTGGATCAGGCTGCTGAGAGAATGAAGTACGTCGTTATGCATAGGCCAGGAAAAAGTTTTAGGCCCAAGCAGTGGAAAAGAAACGGCATCTGCCTGTCAAACGGTTGGTCGAATTTGACACAAAAGATGGTCATCCGGTTGCCGAGTTAGCCCAGTGGGTGGCCGAGGTGGCGACACCGCTGGGACAAGGTGGCCACCACTGGGACGAGATGGCCAAGGCTCAGTGTGAAGGCTCCGGTACGATCTCGAGGTTTATAAGATAATAATTGCAGGGAGCTGAGGTTGTGGACCACTCGTTCAAACGGAACGCTTTTGCCATACGAGGCACCATGTACTAAGAACTTTCACAGCGACAGGCCTCCATGTGTAGTGATGGGCTTTTTCTAGCCCGTGTTCCATGCCCAAGGTTCGCTAATTAGGTTGCCGTATGATGTCCGCACGCAGATGCCGTACATATGTGTGCTGCCTACAACATGCTAGGCATCAGCAATTTGATATGGAGAACACACGGTGTGCCATGGGATTGAGGGTCGATGGAAGCAGCCAGGATTCGCAGGCTCTGTATGGGGAGCAAACTGTGGACTGGGCAGATGTCGAGTTTAAGCTGAATGGGGTTGTGTGGAACTTTAATGGCCACAGTTCTGAAACTTGCGGGTCATGAGACTTTACAGCCTTTGTTGGCTTTCCCGTAAGCGTGCGGACAAGATGTTATGCAAGGGAACTTATTTGGAAATGAGATGGTTTGCCTGGCAAAGCTCCATGTCGTTTGCCATTCGTACTGCCGAGAATTACGTGGAGGTTCCTCTCGTAAGCACGAAGGTAAAGAGATGAGGAAATTACGACAGAGAGAGGGTCATCCATCGCACATAACTTTGCTTGATATTAACTTCGTAGGCTGGTGAGAAAAAATTTCTAGCTTCGCCTGCTTATATAACCGATGCTTCTGGTGTGTAGTTTGTCATCCACAGTACCACCAAAGTGAGGCTTTTGGTGGCACTCTCCGTGTTTAACCGGTTTCACCTCGATCGCAGGAGAACTCTTGGTATGCTGTGGTGGTTATCAGTCGATGCCTATTGTGAATCGGGGGTCGGTGTTCTGGTTTATAGCAGTCAGACGTAACAAGCAGGTGTGCTTTGTAGTTGGCGACCCACAGGAACGCAGCCCGAGACCAACGACACATCGTCACAGTAGCATGGAGATGAGAGCATGGAGAACACGCCGAAATACTCACCTCCAGGGTGGTTTGGTTGTCCTCTGTTTGCATGTTCATGCCTCGCTATTCAAGGCATAGTATGCGGTGCTCGTAACCTGGCAACACCCAGACACCATCAGGATACTTGGCGGTGATACTGATCTATACAACGTGGATGGTCTATCACTTAGATATTCTACAAGAGCTTTCTTACTCTTCTTATGATACGTATGTGCATGGTATCACCGGTTTCAGGCCATAGCAAAAATGAAGCATTGTTTTCTTTATCACGATGACTTCTTCATTCCAAAAAGCACAAGTTCTTTGATCTCACAGACCTCGAGCAGATATCGAATCCTTGATAATGAGTTGCAATAAGGCCAGTGGTGTTATATACACCATCTCACAATCTACAGTATCGATTATACCCAGCCAATAGGACTCGCTGGTTACGATTTATATTGTAAAGGAGCCTCCGTGCGCTTGGATCTCACAACGGCGCAGTGGAGATGTGTCTCTTACCACCAGGCTCATCATCAACTCACAAAATGCACAGGTGTTTAGTACTCGAACAACGTATTCCTTTGGTGGAGTAGATAACCAGAATAGGATGAGTAGTACAGTGAGAGTGTCGAATCTGCCGGCTCAGCCCAATACTGTGGAAACAGTGCAGCAGTTGTTTGAGAGTTTTGGTAACATTCTTCAACTGACACAGCATTCGTCGTCTTCGTCATACATCGATGTTCAGTTTCAAGATATCGGCGATGCCCAAGAGGCTGTAAATAACATGGAAGGGTTCGAGCTCTTTGGCAAATACCTCCACGTGAGTAAGATCAAAGAGAATGACGATTCAAATGCGGTGCAGCACGATAAGAAACCGGTATGGGAGCAGGAGCAGTGAGTAGTGTGTGCAGCTACAGCCATGTTTTTAGAGGGTATCAATATTTATTCGTTCCTTTCCAATTAATTTCATATTCAAAAGAAACAAAACAAAGTCATTAGTAGTGTACACGTAAACTATAATTAGATGTCGTCCAATTCTCCTTCTTTCATCAGCTGTTTTGCCCATTGTCTCGTCACTATTGAGGCCTTCAGGTATTTCTTACTGGAGTATTTTCTAAAGAAGGATTCATGTTGAACAGGCTGCACCAAGTACTTCAAGTACTGATGAGCCACCGGCATCAGTTCGCTTTCTGTGATACCTCCAGAGTAGTAGATCAAGTTACCATTCCACTCATCTTTTCCAAAGAGCCTACGGCTCAAGTACATCGCAGCAGCAGCAGATAGAGAAGGTCTGACACCGATGAATTCCACATCCATAACGGAGATTTCAATGAAATACTTTGCAATGTTACGGGTGTTGACGTCGTAATCATCAGCTTTCGAGATTCTTCTGATGAAGTTCATTGGGTTTGGATAACTGAGATCGAATTCCAGCACTTCCAGGATGTACTTCTCAGCATTCAAGATATCTTCAACAACACATCCACTTTCATGGGCAAAGTGGTTAACACTTGGTGAGTAAATCTCCTCGTATTTGGAGGCAATGAAAAGAGCTGCCGTACCAACAAGTTGTAGTGCCTGTGGTAGGACCACCTCACGCGAAAGAAATCTATCTATGATGTTTATGGCGATGAAGAAAGTCTCAGGTAAGAGTCTGAATTTCAAATGCACAGCATTGAGCCAATCACACAGTTCATCACGCATATAATCAGTCAAGTGGATCTGCTTCTCCATATAAGTTGCCAAGGGCAAGGTCTTGATCTCGAGTTTGGCCAAATATTCAAAGATCTCAACAACGTACTCACTAACCATGTTTGGGTCGTTCCAATCATCAGCGTCAAGATCCTCGTACTCGTATTCCATGGTTTTCGTTCTCTTGTGCTGTAAAACATCTTCTTGTGACGCAGGTCTCTTGATCCCACTATCCTTTATGACAGCATCAGAGGACACTAATGTTGTAGTCGTAGATGTATGAGTATTTGCTGTCGATGCACTTGACACCGGATGGTATAGCTTCGAAGAAACACCCGTGGTTGTATTGGTGACATTACTCAGTGCTGGACGACGCACTGGGATCTGAGACTTCTTAACATCCTTTTGTTTGATATTGTTATTCTCATCCTGTGCTCGTGTCTGGCTCTGCTGCTGTGATCTAAAGATATTCATATTACTCTCTTTCTCGTCAATGGGGTATATGTGGATTGTGTATTAAGTAGCGAGTGTGGAAGCCTCTCTTCTGTTCGGAGGTGGTTGGAAGTGACCGAGACAGAGTGTTTGGGACCTTGAATGGAGTCAATTGATGGAAAGAAAGGAAAGCTCGATACAAAACTCCACTCCTTTCAAACACACATTCTGAAACTGCCTGCGGTTTGTATTTTTTTTCCCTTCCTTCGATGGTTGATCGTTGTTAATTAAATTTCCGAAAAGGGTAAAACATAAACACAAGTTTTGTATACATCCGTCCAAATCGGGAAATAATGTGTTGCGCCAACCATAAATATACGTCTGGGTGGCTCTTTCTATTTACATTTCTTGCTTTCTTTTTGTCTCTTTTGGTTAAAGCTCAGCTTTGTCATCTGTGTGTATTTTAGTGGGTCTATCTTGGAAGCGAGAGAAACTTTGTCTTGGTTGCTGTGGAAGTGGAATTGGTTGTTTAGAATTCTCCTACTTGGTTCTGTAGAGGGTGAAAAAACTTCAGGCAGGTTGTTTATCACGAGAGTTAACGCTCTCAGCGTGATAATGAGCATTTCATTTCAGATGCCACACCGTCTGTCAGTTGATCTGGGAGTGTTTACGGACCTATGCAAAAGATGAGCTTATTGTTGGGTCAATTGGTGATAAGATCTTTTTTATGGTTATCTTTGCATGTGGAAGAGATTGCTGAGTGTAACAAGCACACACCCCACTTCTTTGGTAACGACCTTAGGTGCCACTATCAGAATTGATTGACCTCTCTACACAAACACTTGATCGAGCCCTTGATAGCAAAAATGGTCCGTGAGATTTGCATAACCTTCGACTATTAGGACACCATATATAGCACCACAACTGATTGGCCAACCACCCGACTTTGTTCAAGCTCATCAACATATGAACACTCGGGAGATTTCCAACGTCAACACCAAACAACTCCAACTTGTGATGAACCTCTCACTAAATTAAAATGGTCTATTCAAGAACCATTGGTATCTAGTTGGTGTTCAGATGTTATCAATGCGCGTTGCCGCAGGACACGAAACTTTATTCAACATGTCCCCACGACTTGTTCCGCTTTTATATTAATCAATTGATATTGAAAAGAAGTTTCATGTATCAATCTACTAGTATAAAGGACTTAGAAGGGTACAATAATCATAAGACTCCTTCTTTGGCCACGTTTACAATATCAAGGGAGCAGAAACAGCCATCGAATCAGCACCGAAGCCTACTTTAACGGCACCTACACTGGAAGAAGAGGAAACACCAGGGGAAGAAGAGGAAACACCAGGGGAAGAAGAGTCGTCTGCAGTGGGGAAGCGAGCCATAGGTGCTGTCACAGCAGTGGTTGGTTGACCAACGGAGATTAGAGTGGTGGCTCCTTTGGTGCCGGTACCAGAGATGTATTAGATAGCAGATGCAGCGATGACAGCAACATAGCTATCTGGATAGGTGTCTACCTTGAGTGTGTGAAATGGAAGGAATCAGTGGAGTCCCATAGATAAGTCCATGTAGTTAGTGCAGTTGATACATATGTCAAGACTGTTAAAGGTTATTATCTCAAAGTAATGGTCCAAATGGTCCCATTTACATTCTTTGTAAGTCATCACTTTGTATTTGGTATGGAGAAAAGGGGAAAGGGTATCATAAAGATTATGAATTTCATTAGATAAAATGGAAGATCGAAAGGTGAAATCATATCCACGTTATTCCCTGTAGGTCAAATTTCTTTGTCAATTGTCTCGCGAGGATACTTGACTTCATATACTTCTTTGAAGCGTACTTTTTGAAGAATTCGTCATGCGTAACTGGAGCTCGAACGTAATCGACAATCATATTTACAATTGGTCTCATCTCTTCCAAAGTATAGTCCCCAGAATATTTCTTCAACGTTACGTCCCATTCACTTCTTTGTAATAGTTTCCTCGATAGATACATTGCGGATGCAGCACATAATGAAGGCTTTACGCCTAAGAATTTATGATCCATGATGGTGATTTCCAATAGGTATTTCCCCATTGTTCTTGTTTCAATGTCATAGTCATCAGCTTTAGAGATACGACGGAGAAAATTCATAGGATTAGGGTAACTCAAATCAAAGTTCAAAGTCTTTAGGATGAATCTCTCAGCAGAGAGGATCTCCTCCTCTGTGGATCCACCATCAGTGACATATGCATAGTTTTTAACGCTTGGACTCCAGACCTCTTCATATTTGGCAGCGATGAACAAGCAACCAGTTGCTAGCAGCTGCAATTTTTCCACCTCAACAGTCTGCAATGATAAGAACCGATCCATGGTGTTTATAGCGAGAAATAGAGTCTCTGGTGTCAATCTAAACCTGAGATGTACTTCCACTAGCCAGTCAACCAATATGGATCTCATTCTTGGCTTTAAATTGTCGTTATTCTCCAAGTAGTTTCTTGGAGTAGTGGTGATTTCCAGTTCTCTCAAGTATTCAAAGATCTCAACAACGTATTCGTTAACCATTAGTGGGTCGTCTGAGTCTTCTGAATCGAGGTCACGTGCCACACCGCTTGGTTCATTATCTGCAACGGCTTCAGCAGCCTCAGCAACTTCAGCAGCAGCTTCATGGGCCGTTTTTACCCTTTTGTGATTATCATTTGCAACATCACCAGCTCCATTACCTTCGCCCTCAGCTTGGTCTTCCTCTTCACCAGCGCGTGCTCTTCTCTTCACTCCACGTGTTTGGGAAGAAGTCTGTACTTGGACAGTGGAGGTATTCGTCACGTTCGACAACGCTGGTCTTCTCAGCCCGTTGCCAGCACCGTTGGCAGCACCGTTAGCAACACCGCTGGCACCCGTGGAGGTCGCATCGTTCACCTTAACGCGTCGAGTAACGACGTTTTCATCTTGTACCTGACGTTGTGATGTTGGCATTTGGCAGCGAGTTGTCCTTTCGATGAGCCTGATGGCGTTTCTTTACACTTTTGGTTGGTGGAGGGGGAGAGAACTAGTGGATTTGCACTTGTGTCTAAAATGACGACGTACGTGACTATCTTTTTTTATCTTTCTGTTGCGGTTGTCGTGATCTTTGCTGTTAATGTCTGCTTTCCCCTAACGTAATGTCGTTTCTTCAATGCCGTGTCTTTAATGTCAAGAAGCGATCAGTTCACGTAATGTCTCTTGGTCAGAACTTTAACGAAAGTGGTCTTGACCGGCTGTTAACGTTGAATAAGAGATTTGTCCCCTTTTTGTGCAATTCTGACTTTAAGGTCTGTCCACAAAACGAAAAGAGAGAGAAAAAAAACCGAAACACCAAAACGGGAAAAATACAACAGAAGCGTATATATGGACCAAAAACCCTTTGTCTGTGTGCCTCTTACCGCGAGCATTACATAAGCAGAAAACATCAAGAAGCTAACCATAGAGACGCGCTCCTCTTCAATTCTTTTGTTTACATCTTTCTTTTTTTTCATGGAGAACCATGGATAGACTTGTTCAATTTATTCAGTGTGTAGGTAGTAACGTTGTATAATTGGTTAAAAAACAGCTCTCAACGGAGGTAATCACGTAGGTATCCTCCCAGCTTATTGGCACCTTGTTCAATGGCGTCTTTGATGACGGCAAAGTCGTCGTTTGTGGTGTTGATGTATGGATTACCGGTTCCTGCACCAACACCCACGCCAGCGCCAGCACCACCTTGCTGGGACGATTGGTCTTGATCCTCACCGAAATACGAAGCTGAGGAGATTGCGTTTGTGTTACCAAAGGATTGTAACTTTTCGTGGGCCTCTTGTTGTGCTGCACTGTCGTAGTTGTTTCTTCCAAAGAACATGTCTGAGGAGATGGCCTTTTGCTTACCAAACTTGTTCTCAACTTCACCGGTGTATTTTGGCTGGGCTGCAGCCTTCTGTCTCTTCTCCTGCTCTGCAGCATCGTTAGCAGTCATACCAAAGCCCAATTTGGCAAATGACTGTGTGGTTTTCTCGATTGGTTTGGAAGCAGATGAAGAGACAGAAGTCTTTCTAGAACCGGCTCCAAATGTGTTGGCACTTGAAGGTTCACTGGTTATGGTTGTGGACTTGTTGGAAAAGAACGAGTCCTGGGCTTCCTCGTGTTCCTTGTTTGGATTGTAGCCCAATTTAGCAGTCTGTTCAGCTTCCTTCTTGGCCTCTCTCTCGGCAGCGTCGAAATCAACGTCAGCGGTGATTTTCTTTGCAGTGACCTTGGACTTTCTTGGTCCTGAGAGGATGCTGGTCTTCTTACCAGTGGTGGTGGTCTTTCTCAAGATGGTCTTCTTTGGACCCGACAGAACACCACCGCTACCACCGGCCTGTGAAGACAACGAAGCGGTGGATGCATTGTTCTGTAATGGAGTCATTGGTCTGGATGACGAAGGCGAAGGAGATGCAACAAGTGGTTTCTTTTCCCAGTTGGCAAAGAAATCATCTCCACTATCATTGTTACTCTCAGCAGCCAACGATGAGCTTGAAGAATTGTCAATCTGTTCCAAATTTACAGAGTTAGGGAACATGACTTCATCCTTAGCAACCTTATCATCCAAATGCTGCTTATACTTCTCTGCAACTTTCGAGGTGTACTTCAGCTTGGCCTCGACTTTTGGTCCCAAGTATCTAGAACCACCATTCTTCAAAAAGTACTCTTTGGCCTTCTGGTTACCACCCAACTTGAAACGACGCAGCTGATGTTGGCCCCACTTGTCCAAGTTCGACGACTTGACAAACGTCACATGCACACCCATGTTTCTGTGAACAGCAGAACACTCCAAGCAGAGCAACACTCCAAAGGGGATCGACGTCCACGTCGGGTTCTTAGCCTCACAGTCAAAGCAAATCTTGTTGGCAGGCTCCTTGGAGAGGTACTTGAAGACAGCATCTCTCTCTTCGGTGGTGGCGTAATCCGTCATATTCAAACAGTGGTTTCCAGATCAATGAACAAGAGCAAAATGGCTTGACACACACACGCGCGCTGTTTGTTTACGGCTTGTTGATGTGCTTGTGTATGTGTTGTGACAACAAGTCATTAAATCAAGCAGACGATGTAGCCGCGAAAAGAGAGGAAGAACGGGTGAAAAACTAATTCACATCCGGACACCCAAACACCTGGACATACACCTGGACACCACGTTCACACTGGGAAACCCCCGGCGGCTATTTACATCACCAACCACAAAACCGCTCCAGAAACATCTCCCCAAGCAACTCACCAAAACAAAGATAAACAAACAAACAAATCGACAGCGGCTCATCAGAGAGGAGCCCTAGCCACCATGCCAATCCCTGCTGCTGAACAGCCAGCTCATGAAGCTCTAAGGCCGCTCAACAGCGATGTACGCCATGGGTTTGAAATGGACCAGCAGTACATGGAGTTCCTGGCCAATAACTTCTTCCTGTACTTTGATGATAAGAGGCACCACACCGCCGGCAATGCGCTGACAGATGATGAGAAGGCTGCAAACAGGGATTATTACCAACCTATAGCTGACTGGAAAGTTATGAAAGACCGCCAGAAGACCGTTAGCGCTGCTATTGTTCTCTGTCTCAACATTGGTGTTGACCCGCCAGATGTGGTTAAGACCCATCCGTGTGCAAAGACCGAGGCGTGGATCGATCCTGTGACGTTCAATGACACGAAGAAAGCCATCGAGGCTATAGGGAAGAACTTGCAGAGCCAGTACGAGACGCTCTCGTTGAAGACTCGTTATAAGCAGTCGCTTGACCCTTGTGTTGAGGATGTAAAGAGGTTCTGTAACTCGCTGAGGAGAAACGCCAGGGATGAACGTATACTCTTCCACTACAACGGCCATGGTGTTCCTCAGCCAACACAGAGTGGTGAGATTTGGGTCTTTAACAGGAACTACACGCAGTACATCCCAATATCGCTATATGATTTACAGACATGGCTGGGTGCCCCATGTATCTTCGTCTGGGATTGCAACAGCGCTGGGAATATCGTGACAAACTTCAACAAGTTTGTACAGAAGAGAATTGACGATGATAACGAGGTGAACCACGACCAGCAATCTCCATCTCCTGCAACGGCATACATCGACTGTATCCAATTGGCAGCATGTAGGTCAAATGAGCTATTGCCCATGGATCCAGAACTACCAGCAGACTTGTTCACTTCGTGTCTTACATGCCCTATAGATATAAGTATCAAGTGGTTTATCATGCAATCCCCGATTAAGAGAAGCTATTTCGGTCCGCTGTTGGAAATGGCAAAGAATAACCCTAACGGTAACATTATCATCCCGGGTAAACTGACAGATCGCCGTACCCCATTGGGAGAATTGAATTGGATCTTCACAGCAATCACCGATACCATTGCGTGGACTTCTTTACCAAGACCTCTATTCAAGAGATTATTCAGGCAAGATTTAATGGTTGCTGCACTTTTCAGAAATTTCCTATTGGCTACGAGGATTATGCCTACTTATGGCTGTCATCCAATCTCAGATCCACCTCTACCAGATACCCAGTTCCATTCTATGTGGGAATCTTGGGACTTGGCCATAGACCAAGTACTCACGCAGATCTTGAAAAACGTTAATGAATCAAGTTCACCGTTGGGGCAAGTAATTCAATCCCCAATGGTTTCACCTCCAACCACCAATGGGAGTTCATTTTCAAACTCTCACTCAAATCAATCGAGTAATGGGACATCAAATTTCACAAATGATCAAAATTTGCAAAATTATCAGCATTCAACGTTCTTCGAACAACAACTAACAGCTTTTGAACTTTGGTTGAAATTTGGATCTTCAGCAAGACAGCCACCAGAACAATTACCAATAGTGCTTCAGGTACTACTGTCACAAGTACATCGTGTAAGGGCACTTGTGCTTTTGTCGCAGTTCTTAGATTTAGGTCCTTGGGCCGTTTATTTGGCACTCTCTATAGGGATCTTTCCCTATGTTTTAAAGTTATTGCAAAGTCCTGCCCCTGATCTGAAACCGGTCTTGGTGTTTATCTGGGCACGTATAATGGCCGTTGATTACAAAAATACACAACAAGAATTGATCAAGGATAAAGGGTTCAATTATTTCCTACAGATGCTCAACCCGAAGGATCCAACAAATAATATCAACAACGATCACAAAGCGCTGTGCGCGCTAATATTGAGTCTATTTGTCAAGGGGTTCAAAAATGGACAGAAATTGTGCTTCAGTCCAGACCTTGTTGATAGGCTTTTACAGTACGTTGAAACTTCCGATAATCCATTATTACGTCAATGGTGTGCTTTGTTAATATCACAACTATGGGAGGGAAACCATGAGGCCAAATGGATATGCCAAAAGGAGGGATTGTTAGATAGGCTATACAAGCAAGTTAACGATCCAATTCCAGAAGTGAGAGCATCTGTCATCTTAGCATTAATGGCTTTCCTGCCAGATCAAGAAGAGGATGAAGAGATGAAAGAGGAAACAAACGTTATCATGACTGTTCTCTCACTCGCCAACGATGCAAGTCCAGTGGTTAGAAAGGAGATTGTCATTTGCCTTTCGAAAATTGTCAAGAGGCATATAAACAATTTCATCGTGTTGGCATTTAACGAACTACAGATCGAGATCTCCACTGTCACTAATATCTCAATTGAGAACAAACAATCAATCGGATATGGCTCAATATATCATATCATTTTTAAGGCATTGATGTTGTTTTCGTGTGACGGATACACCCAGGTTCAGATATATGCCGAAAATATCATTGACTACATCTTGATAAAACTGAGAGAATCTGATTTGGGGGATGTTGTATCTGAAATGGAAGATCTGATGATCCAAAGTTCGGCCTCGTCAACTGTTGTGAGCTCTATTACTCAACCGTTACCAAAACCTTTTAAGATTAATGGCACACAACAAAGATCTGTCACTGTGGGTGATAAGGATAACAAAGCACAGGAAAATTCCACCTCTGGATTTTCTTTATTGAGAAGAACGTTGTCGTTATCGAACATTCTCAGGCCGTTTGGTTGGTCTTCAAACAATGATAGTTCGAATTCAGCCGATCCATCAAAGTCTTCAATGTCAAATGTGTTTTTCAACGATGATTCCACACTACATCCAAGGACAGCAAGATTCGATGCAAAGGAGTCACAAAATGAAGAGTTGACTTTACCCTTGATTTCCAATTTCTTTGAGTATAGTGTTGAATATTTTCAAGAACCTCAGATGCATAAACATGAAGTCGACGAACCTGGTTCTTTGGAGTATACGCGTCGTATTTGGAGGCGGAATAGGAACGAGGGAATTATCAACGAGACTCAGCCACAGAAAAATCTCTCCCTTCGTGGTGATTGGAAGACAAATATTGCAGTGTTAAATAACAAGACTCAACCTAAGTTGATCAAATTTGCACAATTTGAAAATTATGTGGTAACTTCTGATGATCGTGACCAAGTGACGACGTTTGACTGGGAGGAATCTAAGCAACTTTCCAGGTTCAACAATGGCAATCCATTTGGAACGAAGATAACAGACTTAAAGTTGATCAATGAGGATGATTTACCCTTGTTATTTACAGGGTCCTCTGATGGTATTGTGAAGCTTTATAAGGACTTCCATTCAAATACTGATGTTTCACTTGTAACATCGTGGAGAGCATTGACTGATTTGTTGTTAACGCCTAGATCAACAGGACTCCTGATGGAGTGGCAACAGAGTAGAGGAAGTTTATTGGCTACTGGTGATGTCAAGATCATTAGAATCTGGGACGCACCTCGTGAAATGTGCCTCGTTGACATCCCAGCAAGATCGTCTAGCGCTATAACTTCCTTAACCTCTGACCAAGTTGCTGGAAACATCTTTGTTGCAGGGTTTGGCGATGGTAGCATCAGGGTTTATGATCGTCGTGTTGACCCTAGAGACTCGATGGTCAAACTTTGGCGTAATGCACTTGGTGAGCGCTCTTGGATTACGAATATCCATATGCAAAGAGGTGGGTACCGTGAGCTTGTGAGTGGGTCTACAAACTCCACCATAAATCTTTGGGACATTAGAATGGATGAGCCTGTTTTGACGTTCAAAGGACATGAAAAATCCATGACGAGTATCCAGGTCCATGAGCATGCACCTGTAATTGCAACAGGTTCGAGAATGGTTAGGATATGGACGACGAGTGGTGATCTGGTTTCAAGCTTCAAAAACTCCAGTGGGTTCTCTTCGAGTTTGAATAACAGAACACCATTCCTCAGTTCATTGGCATTACATCCACATCGTATGATGTTGGCTGCAAATAACCAGCACGATCCTTACATTAACATTTATAAGTGTACAGAGACTCATCAAGAGTGACAATTTTCAAATTCTACATTTGGGAATGTTGTCTAATATTAAAACATAGATCAAGAACAAATTGTATAAAAACCTATGCAAATGCCACCTTCTTCTTCTTTGGTTTCTCTTCTTCAACAGTTTCCGCTGATTTTTTCAGCAGCTTGGCTCTTTTTCTTCTGTCGTTTCTTGCCTTTGCAGCTTTACTTTTGATTTCCAACTTCTTGTCCTCCAACTTGTTCTGCTTCTCTTCCTCCTTCTGTTCCATCTCTTTACGTTTCAATTCTCTCAACTCCTCCAATTTGGTTGCCTTTTCAAGCTTCGACATGTCACGTTTCTCATCTTTGATGATGATTTCAGAAATGATTCTGTTGATCTGAGTCTGGTCCTCTGGGTCTTCATTGACAAACTTCTTACCTTTCTTACCTCTGGGACGTTTGGCACCGGGGATAATTGCCCTATTGAGCACCGGCAGATCCAATTCACTCTCCTGGTACTCTCTTTGTTTCTTCTTACCGTACAACCGTATCAAAGCCTGCTCCTTCTTGACTTTACTCTTGCTTGGTTTACGTACCTTGGACTTTTCAGTTTGGTTTGACTCTATAGCCAATCTGTTACGAGCGTGTGAGTCTTTGAAAACCTCTGATTGGATATCACGCTGTCCATTCTGTTTGGCAGAACGTTTAGCTGTCTTTGACTGTCTTGGTGCCATGCTTTGTACGAAAGTAAGAGACTGGAAATGTGTATTAAAAGAAGATGATCATGAAGACATAACGGGAAATTTTTTTTGCACGTAAGCTCATCGATTACGTAAGATATTATGTAATGTTAAAACTACTATCTCCCGATAAGACCATGTTATGACCGCAATCTCCGAACCGTTGTTTTAGTGGGTTTTCTCTTCAACGAGCTTGTTAAATCTGCGGATTGCAGGGAAGCCCTCGATGATAGAAGACACGTACCACTCCAATTGGTAGTCCCTTGGGACTCTGAAGTGGTTCAACTTTGGTCTCATGATAAACAATGATTCCAGGGCATGAATACCCAGGGTTAACCAAGTGATGTTTAGAGAGTTGTTCACCAACCAGTCACCAAACGAGTCTCCAATGAAGCCTCTAACAGTTGGATTGATGATTAGATCAGGTGCGAAATGGGTAATTGCAGGTAGATAGATCAACGATATCAGCAATCTATTACGAAGTCCAGGGTAAGTGAAATCTTTAATCTGGAATGGCGAGAATCCGCGTTCCTTTGCTGCGAATCTTGCCATCTCAACCAATCTTTCACGTGCCTCTTTCAAGTCCTTTAAAGGAGGCTCAAATGGTATAACTTTCTCCAAGGAATATTCAACCTCCTTATAGTTGAACGTAATCGTCATATGGTCCAAAGAGATCTCGGTCATCTTGACGTTTGAAACCTTTTCAATTGAAGTCACCTTACCGTATACCACCAAATAGTCCTCCACGGAGACATAGTGGTCTTTATTCATATGCGCGAGGATACGAGCTTCTGCCATGATAGATTAGATGTCGAATTGACGTTAAGTTGCCGTTGAACTGACGCTGAAATAAGGATAAGTAAAGAAGTAGAAGAGATATCGGGGGTGCCATCAATCCCAGGTTAAGTATGGTGAGGTACGGATGTATATATACGAAACACTTCCGACCTCCTGGTCCCGTGACTTCCCCTCGTAACTTGCCCTTTTCGGACATGAACTCATTTTTTAGGGTATAACCGGCTCATAATTTCCACTTTTTTATCGACTGATTATGAAATTTATCTTGCCCAATTAACCCCTTCTTTACTTCTCTCTACTCTTTACACTGCGTATACAAAGTGCTGAGTCAGTTTGTAAGAAAAGAAGGAAAGAAAACACGCGATCATGGATGATATCAAGGAGGTTAAGACGGTTGCCGTAATTGGTGCTGGGTTAGTTGGTTCGTTAGCTGCACTGGCATTCGCCAAAAGAGGTTATCAGGTTACCGTGTTTGAGCAGCGTGGAGATCCGAGACTTGCAAAGAACAAGAACTTGAGATCGATCAACCTTGCTGTTTCTGATCGTGGAGTGAATGCGCTGCGCAACGTTGACTTCAAGCTGTGTGACAGCATTCTTCAACATGTCATTCCAATGAAAGGTCGTATGATCCATCACGTTGAAGGTGAATTGGAGTCTCAGAGGTACGATTTGGATAACCAATGTATCAACAGTATCGACAGAGGCTATCTGAACGATCTCTTATTGAACGAGCTGGATAACCATGAGTTGATCAAGGTGGAATTCGGTCGTAAACTGGAGAATTTGAATCTTTCGGGCCAACCGACATTGACGTTTGCCAATTTGGACATCAAATCCTTCGACATTGTGATTGGAGCTGACGGTGTCTTCTCCGCGGTTCGTCATTTACTCCAGAAGTATATCAGAATGGATTTCACCCAGGAGTATATCGATTCCACCTATCTGGAGTTGAGAATCCCACCTGGTGAGGATGGTGATTTCCAGATAGATGCAAACCATCTCCACATTTGGCCAAGACACAAGTTCATGCTTATTGCACTACCAAACCTGGATGGTTCTTTTACCTCGACCCTTTTCGCTCCATGGGATGTCATGGATACTTTACACTCTGATGAGAAGATCCTCGAGTTCTTCAACGAGAACTTCCCAGATGCCGTGGATCTAATCACTGAAAAGGAACTGTTGTACGCATTCCACATGCACCCAAGAGGCAAGCTGCTATCTGTGACTTGCAACAAGTACAACCATACCGGCAAATGTCTCATAATAGGTGATGCATCGCACGGAATGGTTCCATTCTATGGACAGGGTATGAACTGTGGATTCGAAGACGTGGACGTGTTGATGGCCCTTCTGGACAAGCATGAAGATGACGTTGAAAAGGCATTCAACGAATACACTGAAACGAGACACAAGGATCTTGTTGCAATTGTAGATCTGGCAAAGGAGAACTACAAGGAGATGAGACATAAAGTCACCTCGAAGCTATTCGTATTACGTAAGAGAGTCGACTTCATCCTCACTTATTACCTCAGGGAGAAGTGGATCCCATTGTATACAATGGTGTCATTCAGAAGCGACATCCCATACTCCGAGGCTGTTGCCAGAGTGGAGTTCCAGAACAAGATCCTTCTGGGAATCGAAGGCCTTATCGTTGGAACCGGTGTATTCATCGGTGTGAAGTTCCTCAAATGGCTTGGTAGAAAGTTCTGAAAAGGGCCCTACAGAGCGTGAACGTCCATGTATCGGGCAATTGTATCTGTCCACATATTTATATATATATATATCAAAGCTTTGTGTATATTCAATTTGATGATGATTAGAAGAATAAGAGCTCGGTGAAGAAGTACGTATATGTCACGTGACGCGCGGAAAAACTGGCTGGTCGGAGGTTCCCGCGTGTTGGATCTCGGCACAACTCGGGAAAGTTTTGTCACAAAAAGACAATAGCGGCAAACGGCGAAAAATGGCGAAAAAACACGAAATCGTTACCGAGCACATCGTTTAGTAGCGAATTTTGCTACTTTCTAATATGACAACCACATCTAAAGCACTTTTGATGGAACAGAACAATACAAAATCAGGAGTAACTGCCCTAAGATAAGAAGCCATAAGCCTACCGGATCCGTTATGAAACGTAAGGCTTACAAATGTGTGAGTTTTGCCCGTGTTTTTGACGCTTTAATGCCTCAGTTACCGTCGCAATACTAACAGTACTGGCCGTAGTTATACGCCATTGTCGGTGTTTCGATCTTCCGCAAACTGCTACAAGAGCTGCACCTGTATCCTTGTGATACCACGGACATACGATCGTTGTCGTTCCAACCTCTGAATGACGTTTGTGACAAGCTCACTATATGGCATTTCCTACTGATTATCTTTGTACTGCTCGCAAGGGTGGTGAAATGGATCGTGTTTGGTGATGTTGTACTGACGCCACTTGAGCTGACCACGATAAGAGAGAAGTTCAACTATACCCTTTTCGAGTTTGTGTGTGGGCTGCTGATCTTTCGAAACTCGCAGGCCGAGTCGATAGGGATCTGCGATGTGTGCCATTACGCTTTACTCTTTGCGAGCCTGCTCGTTTTGAAATCTTTCCATCATCTCTGTGATATTAGGGTGGAAAAGTTACGAGAAGGTAGCAGTAACCGGCCTCTGCTGTACGGAATCATCACCCTTGTCGGTACTGATCTGCTGATATTTTGGCAAGCCACGAATTTCAAACAAACATCGTTATTCATGATCTTTGGATATGAGACTTTGAACTTGTTGCCACTAATAATGCACACTCTGTTCCAATACAAGTTGAAAAGCTCTTCAAGGTCAAGACCATACCCTCAGCTTCATTCCTATACCGTGTTACTTATGGAGCTACTGATGACAGTGCTTAGACTGTCACTATTCTGTCTATACACCGTGATGTTCAACAACAACTTGACAACTTACCCTGTACATGTGATGCCCTCCGCTTACAAGTGCTTTAGACTGATGTTGAAAAACTTGAGAAGGTTGATCAAGTTCAAGAGACAAGAGTACAAATTTAGGAGATTTGATAAACTACCTCGCTTCGAAAGTGATGATGACTTGAAGGAAATAAGGTGCTTTTGCCTTGAAGAATTGGCGAAAGATGATGACATTACACAGTTACCGTGCGGACACTTATTCCACCATGAATGTGTTAAATGGTGGCTTATAAAGAGTGAAACCTGTCCTCTGTGCAGAGATGAATTGGCTGGTTCTGCTGTGCAGCGAGCTGGTTAAACTGTCATGAGCAGATGAATTACGACCAATATTACTATTTTTAATTACCACTGAGGAGATGTAACTAATAACAATCGAAATGAGACTTATAACCTAGCTATTATTAATGCTGCTTGTACTAGATTTAGTACGTTGGGAAGTATGAAATGACATGGTTTTCTTCATCTTCAACTTGGAAGCGTTGGTAGCCAGCTGGTGGTGTCAATGGTGTGTGCAAGTCTGAGTTCTCCCTCGAATTGATCTGCTGTGTTATACGATACCATGGGTCATTTTGTATATGTTGATTCTCTGGTGAATAAACGCCCCTGTGGAATACCTTTTGCCAGGCTTTCACAAGTATTGAATCATCGTCTTGGTGTTGTTGTTCGAGATCTGGCACTTCTTCTTCCTCTTCTCCAAGTTCATACCTCCATATCTCCATCAATTTGTGTTCCTCTGGACTAGATTCACCATCCATGTTAAAGAATGGAAACAGCTCAACGTTCATCGTCGCTTCTTGCAGAAGCTTTGAGAGATCTAAGGGAGCATCATCTGGTGCCAATCTGGACCCGTACATTGGAGGCTCAACCTCCACAAACCGTTGAAATGGATTCAAGAGAGAAACTGGTGGTGTGCCATCTATCGTCAGCGAACCTTGTAAGGTTACACAATCCAAGGGAGGGTCCACAAGCAGCATTAACCCGTATTCTTCCTCCTCGCCATTGGTATAAACGTTGTCATTGGCTGAAGAAAGCAATGCCTGTGACGTCTTAATCACCAAAGGACCCGGATCATTGAATGGTGCACTAGCTTTAGCCTTTGGCCCTCTATTAGGATCCCAGGACGTCAAGCACGGTATGTTGCCAAACTCCCTTGAGCGTAACTTCAACCCTGTGCCCGTGAATGGCCCCTCAGAGCTCAACTGCTCGTCAATGTTCTCCGCCATTTGGTCAACCACCAAGAGCTGTCCTCCACTACGCATACTCTCCTGAATAATACACAGGCTGCTACGCTACACTGTATACACCTTGTCGAATACTTCACAAAGGATCATTGTATCGTAACATTTACAAATGGAGGTAAACAAACCAGTGCACAAAAACCCTGTAAATGTATACAAACCTTCTCCAGCCAACCAAGCCTGCTTCTATGGAAAGAGCCGGTCTACTTCTTCTGTATGAGTTCGTTGTTGACCACGTTACCGACGTACTCCTGTAGATACCTGTTCTCGTGCTCCAGCTGTTCGCATTTTGTCTGTGTTGCAACGGTTCTTCTCATGAGAGAGTCCAGCTTATCCCTGAGGGTCAGAGCGTGCTGTAGGCTCGCAGGGTCTGTTTCTACGGTGTCCATTTGTATGAGAGCTCAGTGTCTGTGGAACGAGAACAGAGGATCGTGTGTGAGGGCCCTGTTGGAAACCCTGGTGGAAGTCTTGTGGGAAGAACAACGGTGGTGGAAGTGTTGACAGAAGTAAAATAGGCTGGCTGGATGGGCCTTTGAGGATGGATGTTGGGTGTGTGGGTGTTAAGGTGTTAAGGTGTCCGGGTGTTAATGTGTTTAGATGTCCGGGTGTTGAAATGTCCGGGTGTATTGTACTCGCGTATAATACAAAGCATCTCTTGGACACCTTGTGAACACCTCTCGCTCTCTCTCTTTAGGCTCAAAGCGTCAATTGGACGTTCACCACGGAGATGCTCACTTTGCCAAACACACCCTTACCGTTTCTCCCAATTGAGCCGGTGCCAAATGCCCACCCATTGGCACAGAGGGCCATAACGTTGAGACCTTCCCCAACTACAAACATGACGGTTTACATCTCATCTCTGACGGATTACCTCGATCTTCTCATGGCGATGCAACAGGACCTGGACTGTGGTTCCACCATATGGGACTGCTCATATGTGCTGAGTGGTGTATGTCCATGGGATAAGTGTAACCATAAGGGCGAATGGTTGATGAGAGATGAATTGCACATGGTTTTGGTGCAGCTGTCGTTGGCGTACAATGCGAGGGCCGTTGAGGTTGTTGAGTGGCAGCACAGTGTGAAGCTTTACAAGAAGAGCCTGTCGTACCTTCAATTTGCCATGAAGCATAGCTACACGGGCTCCGTGGAAGAGTGCTCTGACTCAATGAAACGGTTCTATTTCGGCGTCACGATGAGTGGGTTACAACTGGGTGTCATTTGCACCAAGTTGAAAGAGTTACAGTCGAACGATTATGAGCTGGATTCGAGGTTCAACGTTGCTACTCTCTCGCGTGTGTGTATATGGATCAAGGACGAGCTCAATAGGCCTTACAACCTTGTCCATAAGTCTTGGAATGACTATTTGCTCCCCATCAAGAGGTTTGTCCAAGGCTTAACGTATACATTGTTGAGTTGTGACAGCTATAACCAATCCAAGATGGGTGAAAGCTTGGGATGGTTATCACTTGGTTTGCTGGCCATACAATCCAGTGGTGAGCCAGGAGATGACCAGAGGAACAAGATCAAGTCCAAACTCCATACTCTGAAGAGGAAGGTTAAAAAGAACGTTAAACTGGACCAGGACCTTCTACATGGATTACCAAGGACGCTGCAACCGTATCTACAACTGCTTTTCGAGATGTGCCAGGTGTTAGAGGTTAAATATTCCAAACTGAACGATCAATTCACGTTCGACACAATCGTGAAGAGGGAGACTCTAATGAATCAATTACCCCTGGGGAGATCAATCCCTATGGACATTCCGGATCCATTCACCAAAGATTCAGCATCAATTTCAACTTCAGGTTACTATTAGCTATGGTTCTTTGCATAGATGGCCAGGAACTGCTTCTTTTCATGGATTCCCAAATCCACTGATTTCAGTTTACCATTTGTAATGAACAACTCTCTTGCACGTTCCAACACTTTATCGTCGTATGTATCTATGAAGCCAATTTTACATTTGGCATTCAACAGCTTGACGTTTGTCAACATTCGGAAACACCACTGTGATAATGACATTGGTAGAGGAGTACAGAATGAAACAGGCTGTAGCTTAATCTGTAGGGTTTTGAACTTGAATTGTTTGAACTTGTCCAATTGAATCTCTGGAGCAAACTTCAACAACGATTTACCATTCGAAGTGGTACCTTCTGCGAATAAGAAGCAGGTATCCTTAGTGGAGCAGGTATAAATCGGCAAGTCCAGGTCATAGCCGAGAGCAAATTTGATGAACTGCAAAGGTGATTTTAGCTGATAAAAGGTGTTATCTCTTGGGATCAATAGGACCGGGGTGGAGTTTGTAATTAGAGAACCAAAGATGATGAAGATGTCCCATGGAGAGGTGAAGTTTGTGATGTACAATTCACCTTGTTTAGGGTAGAAGTTTGAGATGTCTGTTGATCTTTTCATCCCGTGGATCGAGGTGTCTACTTTGCACAGACCAAGGATCCACGAGGTCAGCTTGCACCACGTTGTGGGTGATAATGGGTAGAGTGGTAGCACGAGGAGCAGCAGAGGTAGTCTTAGCACTAGCACCAGTACTCCGACCAGAGACCACGATGAGCTGGCTGAGGCCACTGGGATGAAGGGGGAGATCCCGGTGGCTTTATCTCTGAACTGGGTGTACTTCTCCATTGGAGTGGGACGGAGTGGAACGAAGTGGAACGAAGTGGAACGGAACTGAGCGTGATGAAATGTGCTACAACGAGCTCCAACGAGATGAGACGATGAGCTTGTCGAACCGGTGCGGGAGCCCTGGGCATGCCACTGGTGTGCGGGTGTTATTACGTGGTCCCTTACGTAATCACTTACATAAGCCCTTACGTAACCAAAGGCGCCGTTTCAACGTGCAGCGCGGAACGGAAGCAGGAAAAAGAAACAAGCAGTAGATAAGGCACGTTAATCTTCAGCCAATCACAGCTCGCCTCTCCCTTGATTTCCACACACGATCAGAAGATGTTCAGTCGGAGATAGCTGGCCTGTCTTCACCGTTAATCGCGCGCCCAGCTGGCTCGCCACGCGCTCCCGCCTGGGCCCCACCGGCTTTAGCCAACTCCCACCGCTGGAGCCCATCCCGCACCGTCAACCCCAGCCTAGGCGTGGAATCAAATCCAGTTAAACCCGACTGGAGAAAACACACACACACACACACACCAATTTCAAGATAAAACAACAAGATAAAAGCAGCAGCAGCAACAATTGCAAGGGCGAAGGGGAAAGGAGGGGCAGATAATGCAAGGGTCAATTGTTCTCTGTCATGACACCTCGTGTGGTGTGGTTGTCGAGATCAAAACCCCAGTTTTTCATCCACATTGGTACAGGTTCCGTAGGCAGAGTCGTGAGCAGAAAAAAAGTAGTCCAGCGCAGCCCAGCCCAGCCTAACGCAGCCCAGCGCAGTGGGGGACCGCCTAGCGCAGTGGGGACTGCCACCCAGCACTTGAACGGTACGCAGCACCAGCACCACCGCGGTGGAGCCCTGCTAAGGCCCCGGTAGATGGGCCAATTGAAAGCGGTAGCACAGTGCTGTGTATGTTTCCAACGGCAAGGCCTGGCGTGTAAGCGAGACGGAGCCAGGCTGGCACAGCGAGACAGAGCCAGGCTGACGCAAAGCTCTCCGGAGCCAGTGGGAAGCGTCCTTCCCTGCAGACGGAATGAGCTAAATTTAAGCAGAACGCTGGGCCCACAATGGCAAGGGGAGAAAAATTTTACGCCGGCAGGCAGAGAGCGCCAGGCAGAGCGAACCGACACCACGACGGAGAGAGAAGTTATTTTATAATTAATACTCAGCAAGTTTTTCCTCTCTTCTCCCTGCTTCTCCCATCCTCCTCATTCTCTCCTTCTCTCCTCGTCTAAACCTCCGTGCTGGCTCGCTGCTCACTCTCGGAATCTCCAACTGGTTTAGTGTGCTGAGAGGGTTGTTTTGCT